CGAGCAGGGGAGGGGCAGAGAGAGAGGGAGATGCAGAATCTGAAGCAGCTCCAGGCTCTGAGCTGTCAGCACAGAGCCCAACACAGGCTCGAACTCATGAACCATAAGATCATGACCTGAGGCAAAGTCGGATGCTCAACCGACTGACCCTCCCAGGTGCCCCATTAGCTCTAGTTTTTCAGATGGAAGAGCCAATCACTTCAACACCAGTCTCCCCATACCTGAAATGCTGCTTTATCATCTGTTAGGTGTGTGTGTGTGTGTGTGTGTGTGTGTGTGTGTGTGTGTGTGTCTATCTGTCCGTCTCTGGTCAAGCTTAGTCTTTTCTCTTGATCTCTGTTCATGTGTCATTACTGGACTGTGCCCTTTGTCCTTATTCTTCACAACTCTCTTTTGAACATTTGCAAAATTCCACTGAAAATCTCGTTGGAGTATTTTGCTTATTGGAATTGCACTGAGATAATATAGCTCAATTTGGGGAGAACTGAAAATTTTGCAGTATTGAATTGAACATCTGCTATCATAAATATTTTCTTTATTCCTAATTATTTCCTATTTCAGTGCCAAACATTATGTGACAGATATAGTCTCTTTTTTAATGTTTATTTATTTATTTTGGGAGACAGAGAGAGAGACAGAATCCTAAGCAGGCTCTGCACTGTCAGTGCAGAGCCCGATGGGGCTCAAACCCACAAACTTTGAGATCATGGCCTGAACCAAACCAAGAATCGGACGCTTAACTGAATGAGCCCCCAGACCTCCAGCCTCTTTTTTTAGGGCGCCAGGCATGCTGCTAAATGCTAGCGATGCAGTTCCAATTTACATTCTCACCAGGGATTCACGACCCTGCCCTTACTCTCCACCCCCACAGCTGGAAGGTCCTAAGACTTTCCCCCAGTTGAAGGACACAGAGATTTTCCAGCATAAGGAAACAAATTCTCAGGGAGGCCCGTCCGCCCCTCCAGTCCCCTCCTGGGTGGCCACTTGTGGACGGAAGAAGGAGGAATTACTGAGAAGCCCTTAGGGTGTGGGCTGCGGCCGGAAGGGGCCGTGACCCCAGACCCCCACGCTGCTCCCCCTCTGCCTGGGCTTCTGTGCACGTCCTGTGCTCCTTGACCCTCCATGGAGGTCTGCCTGAGGGGGTGGTTCCGCTCCACGTTCTGGGGAGTTCTGAGGGGCTGAGGACCTGGCGCAGGGCAGGGCCTGGGAGTGTATAGCCTGAAATCCGCACCGATCCCCGCCCCTTGGGGCTCCCTTCCATCTGCACCGAGAGGCCCCAGAATACTCCGCAGGCCCCTTCTGCTCTTGGCCCTGGGTCCCCAGAGGTCCTCATGGATGGGGGTTGGGTCACTGCTGGAAAGGGGTCTTCGGGGTGGATCCTTCTGAGGGCAGTGAGGAGGGTGAGGAAGGTGAGGAGGATGAGGAAGGGGAAGAGGGGAGGAGGGGGAGGTGGGCGGTGCCCTTCTCAGGAGGGCGGAGCTCCCGGAGCCTCAGTGCGGGAGAGCCTGAAGGCCTCTGGGGAGCCCCACTCGGACGCCTCCAGGGACGGGGCTTCGCAGCCGCCCCTGTACATGATAGCCCTGCCCTGAGCTCCGTCCTCTCTGTGGTCCCAGGAGCCCTGTCCCTCGGGCCCCCGGCCCCCTTGGGTGACCGCTGCAGCCTCAGGCCGGCAGCCCCGTCAGTGCCCTTGACCCTTCCGAGTGGCCAGAGCAGCAGCGTAATTTCTCAGGGAGTTTTTTGCCAGCTTCCTCAGGGTCCCGGGACCTGAGAGATAGACTCGCTTTGGGGCCATCCACCTCCACGTGTCATTGCGCAGATGGGTAAACCGAGGCCCAGGGGCTAAGCCATGCAGCTGAGATAAAGGCGGGACCTGGGGCAGGTCCTCCGGCCCCTGGTTTGCACCTAACTGTCTAGGACAGGTTTACTCCTCACCACAGGACTTCGGTGCAGCCTTGGGGACACTGTAGGCGCCCTGGGCATGAGTCACACGCGGGTGGACGTGAGCTGACATGCAGACACGTCTCGTTGCCAGGGCTGCCTGCCCTTCCCTTCGATTTGCCAAGCGGAGCGTCTTCCTCCCTGCCCGTTTGGGGGCCACACTCTTGCTGGCTTCGGCTGCCCAGGGTACAGGATGTGGTAGAATGTTCCAGAACCTGTTCTGTGTGAAAACACACCGTGACAACCCTTGTTGATGACTTAGAGGCCCAGACTATGTGAGGGTTGCACTTTCATGCCAAGAGGATCCCCATCTTGGGGCTGCCATGCCCCCGCTGCGGGGACCCCCTCCCCGGCACTCGCTCCCGTGGGGATGGAGGGCAGCGGGCCCGCCGGGCCGGGCCAGGGCTCAGGAGTGCGAGTCGAGGGCGCCGGGGCTCTGGGGATCCTGCTGCCCGGGCCGCCCGACCCTCTTCGTTCTGGGCCTCAGTCGCTGGGTGCCGCCTCGTCCTGGCGCCCTGCCCGGGGCCCGGAGAGCGGTGGGGGGGGGGGTTCAGGCGCGCTGAAGGGGCGGCACCTCGGAGACCCTGCTGGCAGCATTTTTCTGTGGAAACAGATGCTCAGAAGTAGTTCTGTTCCCGGGACCCCCTGGGAGCTTCCCTGGGCCCGCTGGCCGTGTGGGGACGTGTGCGTCCCCAGCAGCCGGGCTCAGGGCCACCACTCTGCTCAGCCACCAAGTAGCACAAGTAGTGCCCGAGGCAGCGGGGCTGAGGCTCCTCACGAGGGGCAGAGGGCAGAGAGCAGAGGGCAGAGGACGGCTCCCACTCGGCCGCCCGCGGTGGCTTCCGGTATGTGCTCTCCTGTCTCCTCAGGTCTGCTCACACGGCCACTTCTTTGGTTACTGGATTTAGTTAATCTGGTTTTTTTTGTTTTTAATGTTTATTTATTTTGAGAGATAGAGCATGAGTGTGGGAGGAACAGAGAGAGAGGGAGAGAGAGAGAATCCCAAGCAGGCTCTGCATTGTCAGCACAGAGTCCGACGCAGGGCTCGAACCCCAAAACGGTGAGATCATGACCTGAGCTGAAGTCGGACGTTTAACTGACTGAGCCCCCGGGCGCCCATGGGTTTAGCGAATCTGAGGCTCAGCTGCTCTGTAGCTTAGCTGCGGCAGAGACCCCCACCCACCCGGCCCCTCTGGCCCTGTCCGGCCACCCTCCTGTGCGGTTCCTGAGTTAGAACTTCGTGTTTGCCGCAGTGGGACCCTTCCCTGCTGCTCCACACGCGCCGTCCCTGCTGTCCCGTCAAACCCTGTGACGCTCTGACAGCCACCCTGGACCCAGCCTCCCTCCCGCTGGCGTCCCTGATGTCCCCCTCCCATCGGGGATGTCCCCTCGAGGCAGCCCCAGGGTCCTCCTGGGACCCCCTGCACCATCCTCTGGGCCTGGACCTGCATCTTCCTCACACCCCCAGTTTCCTCCCTCACTTGCCGAAGCACACATTCTGGTATCTTCCAGAGTCTACCTGGGTCTTTGTTCTCCTCACACTCAACTGGCAGGTGACTGAGTGTAGAATTCTAGGTGGCAGGACACCGTTCCTCAGCAGTTTGGAAGTGTCTCTCACCATCACGTGGCCGGAGAGATGCGGACACCAGTCTGGTTCTCCTGCTCTGTGATCTGTCGTGTCTCTGGAAGCTTATGGAATCTTCCCTTTGACCCTGAGCTTGGGAAATGTCATATTTGCCTGGTGTGTGACTTTTTACGGCCGGCAGGGTGGACAGACTCAGAGATAGGACCGGCAGTCCTGGGAGGTTTTCTGGAATTCTCTCTTCAAAGGCTGCTTTTCGTTGATCCTCAAATTTTGTCTCTCCCCTTTCATGGAAAATTACTTAATTCCAACTTTTAAAGCTTCTGTTTTCGTTCTAAGAACTCTCTTATTCATTAAATGGTCCTTTTAAAAATAGCATTCTCCACTTACCCGTGGGCGGAGTAGCTTTTCTTTCTGAGAATATTAATTACGAGGAATTAAGAAAATACTTCCCTTCTGTTCCCTGCACTTTTTGCTGTCGTGTTCGTTTTCCGGTTGTTTCTGCCTGTTTCTTGCTGGAGGCTGTGGTCCTGGCTGGGTTCCCGAGCCAAGGACCCTGCATGGGGCTCCCCCTGCCCGGTATTTCGGAGACTTCCTTCTGCCCCCTTCAGCGGGTGCGCCGCGCCTCTGGCCTCCCGCCCGGTGGCGGTGGAGGGCAGGGGCCTGGATGTCCGCAGGGGCAGGGTGGGGGCCCAGGGGTCTCCACTGGCCTGTCCAAGCTGCCGTGACAAAGTTCCGCAGACCAGTGGCTCAGAGAACAGAGATGCGCTGTCTCCCGGTCCGGAGGCCAGAAATCCGAGGCCAGGTGTGAACAGGGCTGGTTCCTTCTGAGGCCCTCAGGGAGACTGTTCTGGGCTTTCCAGCCTCTGGTGCTTGCTGTCTCCTCTGCCGGCCCTCAGCTTGTAGATGCAGCACCCCAAGATCCGCCTTTGTCTCCACACAGCGCTCTCCTCGTGTTTCTGTGTCCAGTTCTCCTTTTACAAGGACACTGTATCGGGTCGGGGGCGCATCTGACTCGGTGTGACCTCATCTTAACCAGTTAACATCTGCCAGGGCTCCACCTCCGGATAAGGTCACGTGCTGAGGTCCGGGGGTTTAGGAGGTCAACGCGGGAATTCCGACCAGACATAACCCATAACAGGTGTAATGCTGACGTGGCACAAACACCCAGACGCCAGCCTTCGGAGGTACCTAGAGTCCTCCCAGGTCCCTCGGAGGGAACTGGCTTATTTCTTGTTGGGCTCCAGATTTCCCAGGCTTGCTGAGCCATGCTCCACTCACTCTGCCTGCTTTCCCTCTAAAGTTCACGGTATTTCGCATCCGTAGCCACCCCCCCACCCAGCTCTGTGTCCCCGCGGCCTGGCAGCCACGTGGGTGTCATTTCGTGTGATTTCAGAAGGGAAATGGCTCAGTCCCCAACCAGAAATACCGTTCTGCCTTTTGGATGTTGTTTCTAATTCGTGTCTCTCTTCCTCCCAAGGTGTCTCCCCGCTCGCCAGGGCTCCTGACGCCGCCGAGGGTGACCCACAAAGGCCGGAGAGATGGCCGGCGCTTCGGTGAAGGTGGCGGTGCGCGTCCGCCCCTTCAATTCCAGGGAGATGAGCCGGGACTCCAAGTGCATCATCCAGATGTCCGGAAGCACCACCAGTGAGTACCGGTTGTGACGGCACTGTCGCCGGCTGCTGGGCGCTCGGGGCCACGTGTCCTGGGTCTCGCCCGAGACACGGCAGCCGCTCTGGCCCCCAGCTCCCTCCTTGTCCAGCCGGTGCGTTGGTTCCCGGGGGTCGGGGAGGCTGAAGCGACAGGAACGTATCGTCTCCCAGTTCTGAAGGCCCGTGTCCGAGATCAAGGCACTGACGGCCGTGCTGCCTCTGAGCTTCTCGTGAAGGCTCCTGGCTGCCTCTTGCGGTTCTGCTGGTGTGGCCATCCGGGCCTGTAGCTGGCGTCTGCAGGTGACCTTCATATGAGGACACAGGTCCCTTGGGAGGTGGGCGGGGATGGGCATCGGGGGACACTTGCTGGGATGAGAACTGGTGTGTCGTACATGCGGGTCGAATCACTGAATTTCTACTCCTGAAGCCGATATTACACTATATTTTGACTAAAAGCCAAACCGAAACAAAACGCCACTGATCCTGGATTTAGGACCCACCGTAAGCCAGTGCGACCTCATCGTAACAACTAATTATATCTTCAACGACCCTGTTTCTAAATAAGGTCATGTTCTGAGGCTCAGGGTGGACATGACTCTGGGGGCACACTTGCCAACCAGCAGGCAGGGTTACTGGTGCTCATCTTGTTTCAGCTGCCCGCCATTGGCTCTGTCTGGCCTTCGGCCTTGTCTGCGAGTGTAAGTCATCTCAGAGCCGCCTGAGGAGGAGGAGGTCTGCGTCTGCAGGGCGGAGAGCAGGGGATAGGGTGCCAGCGTCCCGCTCAGATGTGTCCCCCTCAGATGCTGGGATCTGGGGGAGCACTCACTCCGAGTCCAGGGAGCACTTCCCCCGAGTTGGGGGGAGCATTCTGAATCTGGGGAGCATTCACTCAGAGCCTGTCCTTTGCTCTTTTGTTGGAACTCTGGCGTTGAGTTGCCGCGTGCCTGCAGACGCGTGGGCAGAGCAGAGTGCGTAACTCGGAGGCCTCAGCCTGAGCAGAGCGTCGCCAGCCCCCTGGGAGCCCCCCCTCCACCGCCCACCCTTGCTTCCCACACGCGGGGTCGTGGGGCTTGTTTAGGGTCCCGTGGAAAGCACACCTGTGTTTGGGTTTTATCTCCCGTCGATTGATAGCCTGCCCTACACCTGCTGACTTGGAACAAGACTTCGGGGCTCAGCCGGGCAGTTTGCCCCCAGGGGCCCTCAAGCAGTGACTGCGGCCGTCACCCGTGTGCTCGGCCCGGTGGCTCACTCAGCACCTCGCCCGGCCTCGGGTGCCCTGCGTCCCCACGTAACGCTGCCCCACCTGTCAGCCACCAGGTTTGGAGGGAGGGGCCGGCCAAGGGGAGGGGCACTCAGGGCCTGCGGAGGGCGTTTGGGCTTGGGCGTCTCTGGGAATGTTCTGCGCACCTTTGGGCTCTGTGGGGGAGGTGGTTGAGAGGTGGTGCCCTGTGGCCCTGCATCCGTGGGGGCAGGTTGTGGGGGTCCCCGGGTTTCGTCGCGGCTCTCACGAGTGGTGTTGCCTCCGCTCGGTCCCTGGAAACACCCTGACGGGAGGGTCCGGGTGACCAGGGTTTTCCGGGGAGATGGTCCCGGGACAGAATGTGGACGGGGGAGCAAGCTGCAGAGGGCGCCGATGCTGGGGGGGCCACCACAGGCAGCGGGGGCCCGGTCGCTGGGACTCCCTGACCTAGACAATGAGCCGAGGGTCGGCCCGGGGGCTTGAGGCCTCGAGGCCAGAGGAGGTATGGAGCAGGGAGCCGCTTTCCCCAGCGACATACCAGGTGGGCTCCGTAAGTGCGCTGGGTGCCTGCTCTGGCCACGTGCCTGCCCAGCGGCTCCTGGTGCCCAGCCTGGAGCGTCAGGGTAAGAGGCACTCTGTCCCCCCACGCCCCGTCCCACCCCACCCAGATGGTGACATATTTCTTGAAACTCAAAACTAGGTGCGCACGGGAGATGCCAGTTCCCTAAATTTGCCCCTTGAACCTCCATTGTGACGCACAGATTAGAAGCAGTTAGAAGTGAACTTCATTTGTCAACCTGTACTCCTCACCTGGATGACAATATTGTTCACTGGAACATTCCAAATCTAGCAATTTTGTGAGCCAGCCAAATTGTACGCAACATACGCTTCCTCCCCACGTGTAGGTCTGGTGGAGGTTAATCGGGAGCGCAGGGGTCCTGTGAGTACCCCCACATCCCCGCTCTACGTAAGAACACAGAAACTTCTGGGAGGGTTTGCTCTCTTCTCTATGCAGAGGAATCCTCAGGATTGGCCTGTCTCTGCACCGCTAGGGCCCTGGAGACAAGGCTGGGCCTGGATCTCAGTGCCTCTTGCGTCCAGTGCAGACCAGCCCGAACCCCCAGACCCTCTGCACTGGTGGGGAAACTTGTTTTCCCGGGAAAAATAAGCTGGGATGGAAATTATTTTCCCAGAAACCCAGAAAGTGTGGGATCAGGCTGCCCACAAGGCTGGCTCTCTCTGAGGCTCTGAGAGCATCATTCCCCTGTCTCCTCCCGTGGGGCTGCTGGGGCCTGGCCTTGCCTCTGTCCTCATGTGGCCTGTTCCCCATGTGTCTGTCTGTCTGTCCGTGCTTTCTCTCCTTGTAAGGACACTCATCACTAGGCCCACCCTAATCTGCATGATCTCATCCTATTTATATCTGCCAAGACCCTGTTTCCAAGCAGGGTCGCTTTCTGGGGTTCCAGGCGGATGTGAGCGTGGGGAGGACACTGTTCACCCGGGACACTGCTTGTGGAGCAGAGGGGGCTGGACCAAGGTCACGGCGGCGTAAAGTACCCAGGGCCTCCCCGCTCGGCCTCCCCGCCCCCAGCCCTCCTCCTGGATGCCGGCAAGCTGATCCTGGCGGGCTTCAGGCATGCACAGCATTCTGGACGCCACCGGAACATTCTAGACCCTTCTCCTCTGCTCATAGTGGTCTTTCTCCCAAAGGCCCTTGTCTGCCATCAGTCTTGTGTACAGACCCAGGTATTGTGAACGCCTAACTCACCTAAGTCAGCTCCTGTTTGCCATGACTGTTCTAGAATGTTCTAGGCCCCAAATAGAGTGAGACTGGGAATGGAAGGCCACAGAAGGGAACTCGGCTGTGGCTGAGGAGGCAGTGGCCCTGCTGCAGGCCTGTCCGTGAGAGTACTGGCCCCGGGGGGAGCCTTGGGGCAGATGCTTCTCCCCGACACCTACTACCCGATAGGGTCACCATGGCGTTCCGCTTGCAGGGTCACAGCAGTGACCTCGTTTGCTTCCCCACTGGGATGAGGCACGGACGGGGAAACCAAGGCTCTGTGAGGGCTTTTGTCACCTGTGGCTGTGTGGGGAGAGGAGAGTATACAGGGGTCCCCTTCACGTTGTCAGCAAGCTTGTGCTGGGCACGAGCTTATGAGGCATGTGTTCTCTCTCTCTCTGCCACACACACGTGCTCACACACTCACCTACCTGCTGGCTGATTTACATGGAATAAGAACTCTCCCCACGGAGCCCCAGGGGAACAGGGCAGAGGCTCTTACCACCCTCAGGGGTGACATTCCATTGGGGAGGTGGGCCTTGCACACGTGGACAAGGGTCATGCCTCACAGAATCAAGAAGGGCACAGTGACGGGGCTCAGGGAGCTGGCTGGGGCACAGGGGGGCTGGCCGGGACACGGGGCAGGCGGGGCACAGGGGGCTGGCCGGGACACAGGGGGCAGGCCGGGGCACAGGGGCGCTGGCCGGGACGCGGGGGCCTGGCCGAGGCGCGGGGGGCAGGCCGGGGCACAGGGGGGCAGGCCGGGGCACAGGGGGGGCAGGCTGGGGCACAGGGGGGCTGGCCGGGGCACAGGGGGGCTGGCCGGGACATAGGGGGCAGGCAGGGCACAGGGGGGCTGGGGCTGGCTGGGGTGCAGGGCGGCTGTGAGCCCAGATCAGATGGCCAAGGAGCCTCCTTGTCGGTCGGGAGGAGGTGAGGGGGTGAACTGTCCTGTGCGTGAGGAACACCAGTGGCCGGGTGTGGACCTCACTTTCTTGAAACCCCACCGAGGTCCTGAGGTGTCTCGAAGGGGGGGCCGCCTCCTGCATCCTGCGCATTTTGGGCAGTGGCCCTGCGGGAAAACCAGCTCACTGTGTGCACATGCTCTCATGCTCTCTCTTTCACACACGTGCTTATATACACTTACACACACACACACACACTAGCTTACACCCCCCACACGCTTACACACTCTCTCACACACTCATCTGTTGGCCGATTTACACAGTATAAATATTCTCCTCTTGGCCAGTTTCAAGCTACCGGCAATTTAACAACAGGCTCACAAAAGTTGTCAGCGTTGGGCTGGAAGGAGCCCGCACAGCACACACCGGGTCGTGGGGCCCCAGGTCGCGGGGACACTCAGACAGAGAGAACGGCTTCCGTTCCGCTGCTGCCTCCCCCGCGTCCCTTCCCTGTCCAAGCCGGGCCCCCACTGCTCATGCCTTTGTCCCTTGCAGGCCCCTGCACCTCGTGTACCCCGGGCAGGTCTCCCGGTGCTGTGTGCTCGTGGAGGGGCCCCAGTCCCTGGGCCTGGCGGGAGCACGGCCCCCGCTGTGAGCCCCTGAGGACCCCTCCTCCCTCCTCAATCCCGTATAGGGAGAAACTCAAGACCCTGGCAAAGGAAGCTTTTTCTTTGGTGACATTGGCTGTGTTTGGGCATATGGGGGGCTGGGTGTGGGGGGCAGTGTGCCTGGCTTCCAATCTGACTGTCTGGACGTGCGGGGGGCTGGGTGTGGGGAGTGCTGTGTGCCAGCCTGGGTACGGGGAAATGGGTGCCAGGCTTGGTGTGGGGGGTGGTGTGCCAGTCTGGGTGTGGGGGGGCTGGGTGCCAGGCTGGGTGTGAGGGGTGGTATGCCAGTCTGGGTGTGGGGATGCTGGGTGCCAGCCAGGCCGTGGTGGACCCTGGCTTCCAATTGGACTGTCTGGGCATGTGGGAGCCTGGGTGCGGGAGGCGGTGTGCTAGGCTGGGGGCAAGGGGCAGTGTGCCAGGCTGGGTCCGGGGGGCTGGGTGCCAGGCTGGGGGCGGGGGGCAGTGTTCCAGGCTGGGTGCTGGGGGCTGGGTGCCAGGCTGGGTGTAGGGGGCTATGTGCCAGGCTGGGGGCGGGGGGCTGAGTGCCAGTCTGGAGGCAAGGGGCAGTATGCCAGGCTGGGTGTTGGGGGCCGGCGGGGGGCTGGGTGCCAGGCCGCCCCGGTGGACCCTGGCCTCTGATCTGACTGTGTGGAGCTCAGGTGGCATCTGTAGTGACAGGGCATTTCTCATGGCACCACGGGACCCACACGGGGACACGGGGCAGACGACAAGCATGTCCTGCGGGCCAGAGCACCTCTGCGGGGTGGTCCTCAGGGCAGATTCTCCTCGCGGCCCGCTCCCTGCCCTTGGTCCCTGGCTGCTGGCTGTCCCCTGCCCGCCCAGTCTTCCTTGAGTGCTCCTGTGCTCTGTCCCCGGGAGGCCCCCAGGGGAGCTCACAGTCCGTGAGAGGCATACGGCGAACACCCCAGAACCAGGACGTGGTCAGAGCCAGGTCGGCACCGGGACTGGGCAAGTGTCATGCAGGACAGAGGGGAGTGGGCCGGGATGATAGGGGGTGGGGGAGCCGGCCTGGGCTGGGAGAGTGGGCCAGGGGGCCCGAGCCTGGGAGCCGGGGGGGCAGGGGGCGGGCCTGTCCGAGGACCTGGGATGGGAGCAGTGAGGAGGGCCAGGCCCGCAGGGCAGGGCGGTGAGGAGCGAAGGGGACTGGGCCCCTCGCTTCATGAGCCTCGCACTTCACTCGGTGAGGGGGGGGGGGGGGGCTGTGATTGTGGTTTCCACGGCGCCGGCATTATCTGCGCCTGGGGTTCTGGGGGCCGTGTCCCCAGGTCCCAGCAGGAGTGGGAAGCAGGGCAGCTTGCTCTCCGTAGCCTTGCTCCTGGAGGCGACATGGGCATGACCCCCTCAAGGCCCCGAGGACAGCGCTGGGGTGGTTGGTCACCTGTCCCTTCCTGCCGGCTTCCTCAAGCTGCCGGTCGTCTCCCAGAACTCCTCACGCCTGGGGTCTGGCTCCCAAAGCCAGGTCAGCCTTGGAAGGGGGGCTCCTGGGGTGCCAGGGCCAGGAGCAGGGCAGGGAGCCACAGCAAGTTGGCCTGGGGCCTGCCCGCAAGGACACAGGACTCAGGGTCCTCTGGCGCGCCACACAGACCTTGCAGGCTCAGGTGGTGTTCTAGCAGGCGGCAGGTGGGGGGCCTTGATGGGAGTGGGGCCTCGCTCCCTCCGGCCTGACCACCGACCACGTGTCACCTGCTGGCTCCAGGGCCTGGGGGACAGCGAGGGGCAGGGGACTTGCAGCCTGGGGCCGGGGCCCCCGACACGCCTAGCAGGCCCTGGCTGAGGTGTGCCGGCACCAGCACGCTTCGTGGCTCCGTTCCTAGTGCTGCCTCTGGCCAGCCCAGGGTGCGGCCTGCTGGGGGGGGGGGGGCGGCGTGCACAGGACAGCACCCTGGGGCCCCTGAGTACAGGCCCGGAAGAGCGGGCGGTGGAGCCCTGCGATGGGGCGCCCCCACGGGGACAGTCAGGGCGGCACACAGCACACGCAGGAGCCACATGGGAACGACGGCCCTGAGGAAGCAGGGCGCGACCCTGCGGGATGCCCCGGCCATGTGTGTGCAGGGCAGATGGGGAAAGACCCAGGGGGGTGGGGCGAGGGTAGGCTGTGGGCTCCCCGTCTGACACAGTGTCACAGGAGGGAACTACTCTGGGTGCCCTCAGGGGGAATTTGTGGGCGGCAGGGTCCACCAAACAGAGGGAGGGGCAGACATGGCTTCTCTGGGGACCCACCGCCTGCCTGGGTGCCTCTCTGGTGGGCATGGACCACGTAGTCGCCTTTCCCCCGGCACAGCATTAACTGCCATGCCTGCCCTCCCTGCAGCCATCATCAACCCCAAACAGCCCAAGGAGACACCCAAAAGCTTCAGCTTCGACTATTCCTACTGGTCACACACCTCGGTAAGCCCGGGGCTGGGGGCCAGGGCGTGGGCTGCAGTGGGGTGGACGCTTGCCGTGTGGGCCTTAACCAGTCCCTTGACCTCTCTGAGCTCATGACCTGTCAGGGCTGCTGGGCGGGCAGGGGAGGGCGGGACAGGTGCGAGGCTCGGGGAAGGGGCCAGCAGCAGCTGCCCGGGGGGAGGGGCCCATCTTCCCAAGTCCCCTTGTGCTGTCAGGGTCACCCTGAGCAGTGACAGGCATGGTGAGGGCAACCCCCGGACCTGCCCAAAGTAACCCTCTGTTGGGAGAGCGTCTGGATGCTGTCACCCGACCTGTGGGTCCCCGGGGCCTCCAGGCCCCACTCCTCCAGCCCTGCCTCTCCTCATTCCCAAGGCCGCCATCCCAGCCTTGATTTTGAGTCTTCTGTCACATGCTCCTGCCTCTGAGCCTTCACACATGCAGTTCCCTCCGCTGCAGGGCCCTTCTGCCCCGCCAGCGCACCCGTCCCCTCCTGCCAGGCAGGATCCGGCCCCCTCCCAGGGCGTCTGCGGCCGTGCGGGGCCGTGTCCCTCCCCAGTGGGAGGCCTCCCGCTGCCGGGCGGGTGCTCGGCGCGCCCCGCCCCTACAGCCACGCCCCCCTTGTCCCGCAGCCGGAGGACATCAACTACGCGTCCCAGAAGCAGGTGTACCGGGACATCGGCGAGGAGATGCTGCAGCACGCCTTCGAGGGCTACAACGTGTGCATCTTCGCCTACGGGCAGACCGGGGCCGGCAAGTCCTACACCATGATGGGCAAGCAGGAGAAGGAGCAGCAGGGCATCATCCCGCAGGCACGCGCCCCGGCTGGGGGGGGGGGGTGCAGGAGCCCAGGCACGCGCCCCGGCTGGGTGGGGGGCTGCAGGAGCCCAGGCACGCGCCCCGGCTGGGGGGGGGTGCAGGAGCCCAGGCACGCGCCCCGGCTGGGGGGGGGGCTGCAGGAGCCCAGGTGGGGAGGCCCTCAGAGGGGAGCCAGAGGAGAAAGTTAACTGAGAAGGGGGGAGGGCACGGGGTGGGCCTGCTGTGAAGAGGCTGGAGCCCCTGACCCTGCGATGGGGGGCCCGGGGAGGGGCAGAGCCCTGGCAGTGCCCCCCGGGTCACGTCCGTAAGACAGGGCAGTTGAGAGTGCCGTTGGCGTGCTGACCTTTCCCCTGGGGGCCGTGGAGGCCGGTGGAGGACAGGGAGAGGGGCCTGGGACAAGGGGTGGCCTTTGGTTAACTGAAGGCTGAGACGCGGATGCTCAGGCACAGCGGGGACCCTCTGGATCTGAGCTGGCCAGCGCTTGAGCTGGTCAGGGCGGGAGAGAGAGCCGGGTAGCCTGTAGCATGGGGGACCCGAACCCACCTGTGGAGACAAGGGCGGCGTGAAGAGTGTAGGAAAGGATCAGAGGTCGTCCGTGGGGACTCCGTGACTTAAGCTGGACAGCTGCTCGTTGGCTGTGGGCCTTCTCAGTGCCTTTGAGATGGGCTGTTAGGGAGCAAGAGGGGCCCGGAGAGCAGTCTCTGGCCTGGGCCTGCCCGCAGCACCCCGGGGGCAGGCCCCGGGAACAGCCCCACTGCCCCCGTAATCTGACGGGGTGTCCTCGGCCCGTAGCTCTGTGAAGACCTGTTCTCCCGCATCAACGACACGACCAACGACAACATGTCCTACTCCGTGGAGGTAGGGTTCCCCGGGCGTCCGTTCTTCCAGCACAGCCGGGGCCCCAGGGCTCTCCTGGGTTAAAGCGAGTCCCCACCACCGGCCTGTGCCCTTAGCTCGTCCCTCCCTCGCGCGTGTGGCGCCGGGCACAGAGGGGCGAGGGGCGGCCTCGGCTCAGCGAGTGCTCACTAAGCTGCTCTGGGCCAGGGGCAGGGACAGATGTCTCTGCGCTGCTGAACCCGGCTGTGCCGTGGCCACGGAAGCCCCAGTGTGTCCACGGCAGACGAGCCCCAGAACGACCGTGGGTGGGGGAAGACCAGCCAATGGGCTCACACCCCTGACTCACGGCTCACACGGGCCGGGGTTCCTTTCAGGCCTCCCCTACCGGCAGGTGGCCCCCTATCCTGAGTCCCTGTTAACGGCCCTGCGCCTGCACCTTGGGGGTCCCTGGTGGCGCCCCCGATGGTGTGTCTCTGCCCGCAGGTCAGCTACATGGAGATTTATTGCGAACGCGTCCGTGACCTCCTGAACCCCAAGAACAAGGGCAACCTGCGTGTGCGAGAGCACCCGCTGCTGGGGCCGTACGTGGAGGACCTCTCCAAGCTGGCCGTCACCTCCTACAATGACATCCAGGACCTCATGGACTCCGGGAACAAGGCCAGGTGAGTGCCGGGTGGCTCGTCCCTCCCCCTTCTCTACCTCACCACCCCACCGCTGCCAGTCCCTCGGAGGAAGGCCTGCTCCTCGGGGCGCCTGTCAGTCTCCCCGTGGGGTCTGTCCAGCACCCCTGGAGGGGTGGAGCCTGTGGGCCTGAGGCCATCCAGGGCACATGCCAGCCTGAGGGGGCATCCAGATCACCCCCCCCACCCCCGTACCGTGGAGCGATGTCACCTCCACAGGGGCTGCTCCTCCTAGAGGGGGTGATCTGGAGGGACACCATCATCGATGGGGCTCCCGGGGTCCTTCCCTGTGGGCAGCTGCCCCGTCGGGCTCAGTGGTCAGGAGGCTGTGAGGCCCGGCCCTGCCCTCTCGGAGAACGAGCAGCCCTCTGGAGGGGACACGGGGCGGGGCCATCGGGGCAGGGTCAGCCGTTGGCACTGCGGGCCACGGCCACTGGCTGCCCTGCCCGGGGACGTCTGCCCAGCTGCTCACGGAACCGGTCCCCCCTTCCGCTGCCCCGGGACTCCCCCGGGGTGAACGTCCTCATGTGCGTCAGAGCCCCGTAGGGGCGCTGTTCTGACGGGGCCTGTCCGCGCCGTGGGCTGTCACACAGCGAGCCCCGCCCGGGAGACATCTGAGGTCCCTGCAGGTTGGCGGCCCTGGGACCGGCCCCGCAGCCCCCCTCAGGCTGCCTTGGGCTCTGCCCCCCCAGGGGCCTGCTGCCAGCCCTGCCCAGACCGGACTAAAGGGACAGAGGTGGGCGCCTGCTTTCCCTCCTGGGCGGGGCCTTTCCACATCGTGCCCCAACAGGGCCGCCTCCCAGTTTCCTCAGTGCTGCCCGGGCTCTGCTGGCCCCTGTCACAGCACCTGAGTGCCAGGCTGGAGCTGGTGGCCCAGCGGGTGTGACAGGAGGCACGGTCACCACCAGGCTGGGCAGGGCAGCCCCAGATGCCCCGATGCCCTGCGACCCGCTGCAGCCGGCTGGCACCGGGAGCAACTCTCAGGCCCGACCACAGGGTGATGGGTAACCACACGTGGCTTCTGCTCCCCCAGGACCGTGGCGGCCACGAACATGAATGAGACCAGCAGCCGGTCCCATGCCGTCTTCAACATCATCTTCACCCAGAAGCGCCACGATGCGGAGACCAACATCACCACAGAGAAAGTGAGCGTGGCCTTGGCCAGGGCGGGCCATTTGGGTGGGGGCACAGTAGTCCCGTCAAGCAGGAGGAGGAGGCCGGGCGGCGTCCTCGCCTGGCACTGGGCCCTCACCACCCCTGCTTAGCGTGGGCCTTGGAGAAGTTGGCCGGGCCCGCAGGGCCACCCCGTCGCGGCGTTTGGCAGCATCCGGGTGTAGAAGGGCCTGGCAGCGGAGAGGCCGGGGCCCCGGGGTCCGCCTCTGTCTGCCTCCTGCCAGATGGCTTGGTGGACACCGTGGGGACTGAGGGAGGGTGTCCCCATGGCTGCGCCGCTGAGGTGACCGGTGGCCCTTGGAAGCTGGGGCCTGTGGGTTGAGTGAGCGCCTGTCACAGAGGTGACCGTGGGCCCTGGCCGCCTGGCGGGAGAGCGGGGGCCCTGGCATCCACAGGCACAAAGGCGAGGCTGTGCGTCAGAGCCCCCGCCCGCCCGCTGCCCCGGCCCCGGATGCCTTTCCCACGCGCTCCACATTCTCAGGGGCCCGGGTAGGAGCGCCATCCCTGGGGCCTTGACCCAGACACGTGGTCTCCATGCCCCCAGAAGGGCCCGGGGCAGGCTCGGAGCCTCTTCCTGTCCGCTGGTGGCCCTGCCCCTTGGGGTCGGGTTTTCTCTGTGTCGTCTCACTGTCCGGGCCTCCTCCCGGGGGCGCCTCGGCCACCTCCAGGCGGGCAGCGCTCTCGCACGCAGCCCCCAGGCTCCGCACGTCTGGGGGAAGTTAGCCACACTTGTCACTGATCATGCCAGGGTCACCCCAGCCTGGGGCCATCCTCCCGGAGACCCCCGACGGCCCGGCGGGGTCTGGGCGGGCAGAGAGGGTGGAGCTGGAGAGGGGCTGAGACCCCACCACAGGCGATGAGCCCGTTGTGGGAGTGGGTGGCAGGACGCACCAGGGGCCCCTGGGGATTCCGTGCGAGCACGTGGAGGGCGCCTGCGCACTGAGAACTGCGTCGCTGCAGCATCGGCCCGTTAGGTGAGGCGCATGCAGCCTCCGGGGAGGTGGGCTTCGAAGCTCAGGCAGAGGCTCAGACGCGCCACGAGTAGAGGGAACCTGCAGGGTGGAGGCGGTCGGGCCCCCGGGAAGGGCTTGGCCAAGGCCCCTCAAGTGTGCGCTTCGGGCTGCTGGGAGGAGGCGGGGCCCCCGTGGCCTTGCGGCCTCTCCCGCGTCTGACCCGCTTGCTGTTTCAGGTGAGCAAGATCAGCCTTGTGGACCTGGCGGGGAGCGAGCGGGCCGACTCCACGGGGGCCAAGGGCACACGGCTCAAGGTAGGGGCCGGGCTGCCGTGCCTGTGGGCGCCGCGCCCCCGCAGGCCCCGCCCCCAGCCCGGCCTGCTCCGGGAGGGCCCCTGCCGGGGCTGGGAGGCGTCGGGGCGCCCCCACGCAGGGCGAGCCCGGGCAGGGAGAGCGGGGCGCGGGCGAGGAGGTGGGAGGAGGCCGGCAGCCACAGGGCCGCGCCCAGCGCACTGCTGGTGGCTAACGGGGACAGAGCCCTGGCGGGAGGCGGGCCTTCTGGGGCCACCAGTGTCCGCGCTTTCCCGCCAGAACCCAGCCCACGAGGCGACAGTCCCTGGTCACAGCAGTCTTCGGGGTCCGGAAGGAGGGTTTCCGCTTCAGCCTCCCTTTGGTTCCCACCGTTACCTGGTGGATGGGAAAGGGCTCTGGCCGCGTGCAAGCGGGGCTCATGTGAGGGTCATGAGGGCTCCCAGGGAGTGCACCGCCCCCCGCCCCGGGGCGGGCCTCTGACCCGCTTCTCGCCAGGGCCTCCCGTGCTCCAAGGAGCCCCGGGATTAACGGTCAGCGCTTGGCGGCCTTAGGCCAATGTCGCACGGGTCGGGCCCCACGGGATCACGCTGGGGCAAGAGGCTCCCGAGGCTCCTGACGGCCTGTCTTCTCTGCACACAGGAGGGAGCCAACATCAATAAGTCCCTGACCACGCTGGGGAAGGTCATCTCTGCGCTGGCTGAAATGGTGAGCTAGCTCTGCGTTTCCGGAACCGGACGGGTGGCAGGGACCGTGGAGGCGGCTCCCTGTGCTGCCTTCTGTGGAGGGTGCTGGGGGCCGGTCAGACCTGCACCGGGCCCCGTCTCTGGCAAGGAGCCTGAGGTTCAAGGGAAAGCCCGGCGACGTGAGGGGCGTGTGTCACTAGGCTACAGATGAGTGGTGACCCTTGTTACTCCCTGGAACCTCAGTTTCCCCGCCAGTATTGGCCACGCAGGACAGCCAGGCCTTTGTTCAGAGAAGGACGAATCTTAGGAGGCCCCGCCCTTCTCTGCGATCGTGAGGGGTGCAGGAAGAGCTGGGGGTGACGGCAGCCCGAGGGTCGCGCTGTTGTTTGGCCTGTCGGGAACCGGGTGGCTGGCAGTGGCCAGGTGACGAGTGATGGACACCTGGCGCGTGCTCAGGCCTCCCTGTCCCTTTGTCCTCCGGAGGCCACCTGTCGGCTCCTCCCCACACACCCTGGGGCCCCCAGGCTTCCTCCAGGTCCTCAGACTCTGTCTTTTCTTTTCCAGGACTCTGGGCCCAACAAGGTAAGCTGCTTTCTTCAGTTCCGGGGGGACCCTCAGCCGTGGCGGGGCTGGGGGCTGCGGGCCGGGAGAGCCGCCGGCCCCCGTTCTCCTGTGAGGCCCTCGCTAGGAAAACCACCCCTTGGTTTGTGCACCTCACAGACAAGTGCGCTGCGCCAGCTCTGAGCTGGGCCCTGGGCTAGAACGACACAGCCCTTCCTGGGCCACAGCTCAGCGGGGGACGGAGACAGTAGACACGGGCACAGAGAAAGAAAACGATAACTGTGAATTGGTGTAATTTCATAAAGGAAAACGATGGGCTGAGTGACACACAGGCGAGGCCCCTCTCGTCAGCGTGGCCGGGGAGGCTCTGCAGGACACGTAGCTTTAAGGCTGAGGCTTGAGGAGCAGGGAGGAACCAGCCGTGTAGCCGGAAAGCCCTGCGTGAGGTGCCGGAGAGGAAAATTGTTGGTTTGTGAGGAATCGTGTGGGAGGAAACGTGAGGAGCCGTGTGGGAAGCATGAGGAGCTGTGTAAGGACGTGAGGGGAAGCCTGTGGCGAACTCTGTGGCGGCGACTGTGTCAGGAAACGTGGGAGGAACCGTGAGGAAGCGAGGGAGGAACGAAGCAAGGGTCTGGGAGGAACTAACTGGAGAAATGGTGTGAATACTTGTGGGAACGACGTGGATGATGGTGCGAGGGACTTTACGGGACGCACACGTGGAAGAGGAAACAGGAAGCACGTGAGGTGCGGTGGGGCAAGCGTGGTAATTCCGGGGGGACTGTAAGGAACTGTGTGGCAGCCGTGGGACATTGCACGTAGGGCTGTGCAAGGAGCCACGTGAGGAGGTGTGAGAAACGGGCACAGCGCACACGGGACTGTGATGGACTATGTCAGAGACCAGAGAGGATTGAGTCACGGGGGGAACCGCGTGAAGAACTGTCGCTGTGAGAAAACGCGTGTGAAGTTGCACGAAGAGCTGAGTAAACGTGTGTCCCGTGAAGAGCTGCGTAGATGGCGTGAGGTGCTAAACGGATGAACATCTGTGTGAGGAAGTGGAGGAAGTGTGTGGAAACTGAGGAATCACGGGAAGACCACGTGAGGCGCGGTGAGGACAAGTGAGAGAAGTGTATGAAGTGAGGTGGGGATCGTGTGAAGACCGTGTGAGGAGCCGCGGGGGGGATCGTGCTGGATGTTGGACATGCTGTGTAGGGAGATCTGCGGGAACTGCGTGTGAATACGTGGGAAGAGGTGTGAATAGTGTACGTGGACCGTGTGGAACACCGTGGGACTCTGTGCAACGGCGTGGGGATGGTGTGAGGGGTCTGTGAGGGGCTGTGTAGACGGCTGTGTGAGAAACTGGAGTCTGCGAGAGGCAGCGTGTGAGCCACCTCTCAGGACCCGTGAGGAGCTGTGCGGGTGGCGCGAGGAACTGGGCAGGAAGGGATGCAGAACGTGAGGAGAGTGTGACTGCAGGTGTGCGACAGTCTGAGGCGCAAGGAGCTCTGAAACCGTGTGGGAAATTGGGGAGTGCGAGGAACCGTGTGGGAGCCGGTGGGGAACCGCGTACCGAGCTGTGTGCAGAATTGTTAGGAACCGCGTGGACCCCGAGGAGCTGCGGGAGTGTGAGGGGAAGAGCATGCGATGGGGCAGTAGTCTGCGTGCAGGTTGTATGTGGGGACCGTGGGGAACAGTGTGGGGAACAAGGCAGGAACCGCGTGAGGGACTGTGAGGAGCTGTGACCGTGTGCGGAATAGCTGGAATGGTGTGGGAGAATGCGTGGGACTTGCACGGGGTGGGGGTACCGTGAAGAAGCGTGAGCACCTGAGGGACCGTGGGAGGGAGCGCGTGGGGGAACTCAAGCGCGAGGTACTTGGGTGGAGACCCGTGCAGGAAGTCTGGGACTGCGCGGAGCAGGGTGAGCAGCGTGGGACGTGTGAACAAATGGGAGAGGAAGGGTGTGAAACGGCGCGGGAACTACGTATGGGAACGTTGAGTTCTGCGTGGCTGCGTGGAAAACCGGTGAGGGGAGTGTGAGGCGGTGCGTGAACCGCAGGAGGGGTCGCGGGGAGCCATGTGCGACTGTGGGGAGCCGGCTGGGAAGCGAGCAGGAAGCGTGTGGAGGACTGTGTGGGGTGGGTGTTTGTGGGGGGCGGCGAGGATGTGCGAAGTCCGGGGGGCTGCGGGGAGGGCTCTGGGGAACGTGATGGAATTCCGTGAGAAACCGAGCAGTTGTGAGATAGTGTGGGGACACCACACGGGGACCTTGAGGTGTGAGATCCGTGTTGTGCTTGTGGGGCCGGGGAGGGGTGGGGGACGGTGTGGGATCGAGTGGGGGACCAGGAGGGCCGTGTGGGAGCTCTGGGGGGAAGCGTTTGAGGAAACACACGAGCAACGGCAGGATTCTGAGGATTTGCATGAAGAATTATGAGGAACCGTGTGAGGAATTGTGAGAGCGTGTAAGTGAAGAGTCGTGAGGCGCTTTGTGGAGCCGTAAGAAGCGTGTGAAGTGGTGTGGGCAGACCGTGTGGGAATTGTGTAACCTTTGAAGAAATTTTTGGGGAATGGCGAGGGGAGCCACGTTGGGGAGTGTGAGGCACTGGGTGGAACTGGGTACGGGGAGCCGTGAGGACAGGACACTGCGTGACAAACTACGACAGAACTGTGGGAGGGCTGTGTGACGAGCTGGGAGGAGATGTGTGTGGACTCTGTGACAGGCGGTGTGGGACCGAGAGGCAGTGTGGGCAATACCGTGGGGAGGTACGGGAGCCGAGCGGAAAACTGCGGAAAACCATACGAGGGACAGTCCACAAGCTCAGAGTCCCCTGCGCAGTCTCCGTGCAGTTCCTCACGCTGTTCCTGGCACCGTCCTTGCACACACTTCCCTCGTTGTCAGCAGGAAAAGGAGTGCGTTTGAAGAACTGTGAGGAACTTTTTGGGGAAATGCACGCAGAACCGTGGAACAGACTATGCCAGGGATTTGTTCGGAGAACCACAAGAAATTCTGAGGGAGTGTGTTGTGAATTGTGTAGATCTGTGTGCCCAGTGTGTGCGTATGTGACACTGTTCGGACTCTCCGGGAACCGCGAGGAACGGTGTGACCTCCGAGACGCCGTGTCGAAGTGTGTGAAGAGCGATGTAGGGAACCGAGGGGAACCGAGCAGGTGTGAGGAGCGGTGTGTGGACTTGCTGGAACAGCACGAGGAAACGTGAGCGCGTGTGAGGAGCAGGCTCAGGACCGAGAGCGGCGAGGAGAGCCGTGAGCGGATGCCGAGTGCCGCGGGGACTCAGCGAGTGACTGCGCGAGGAAGACGAGGAGCCGCGGAAGACTTGTGTGAGGGCCACCGAGGCACAGTGTGGGAGGGACACGTGGAACCCTGGTGCGGGTGGCAGGAGGGACTGTGTGAGCACCTGAGAGGAGCTGTCGGAGGAGCCGTGTGGAAGCGTGTGTAGACACGTCGGTGCCGCGGGGGGCGGGGGGCGTGAAGAGTTGTGAGGGCCTGTGTGAGGGCGGGCGGGGAGGTGAGAGGAACAGGGCAGGGGACCGAGGAACTGTTGGGAGCCGCAAGAATTGTGGGAAATGGAGCCGTGACACCCAGTCTGCACAGTGGAGCGGGCCCGCGGGGGTGGTGCGGGCGGCCGTGGGGACTTCCGGGTGGAAGGGTGAGCCGCTGCCTCGGGACCGTGTGGGGAACTCAGCGACAGGACTGCACGAGGGGTGCGGAGGGGTGGGGTGGGGGGAGCTGTGGGAAGCTCTCCGGGGAATTGCACGGAGGGCGGTGAAGGTGCGAGGGGTGGCGAGGGGCCGTGCCCAGCTGTGTGCGGATCCCCCAAGAGGTCGGGCTGAGGGTCTGGAGGTGACGGGGGGAGGGATGCGAGGAGCCGTGTCACGAGGCACGTGGTGGGTCATGCGGAAGCGTGTGAGGGGCGGGGCCGCGTGAGTAGGAGCGGGGCCGTGAGGCGTGTGAGGCCCTGTGGGAACTGCCTCACCCTTGGCAGCCGCCGTGTGAGAAGGTCTCTGAGGACCAGGGCCTGGCGCAGGGAGCGTGGGGATGTGCCGTCGGGAGATGACGAAGCCCGAGGAGGGCGGGGGCCTGATGTGGGGTCTGTGAGCCTGCGTCAGGAGCGGGGGGGGGGGGGGGGGGGGGGGGGGGGGGGGGGGGGGGGGGGGGGGGGGGGGGGGGGGGGGGGGGGGGGGGGGGGGTGGCTTAATGGGGAGAGCGGACGGGTTTCGAGCAGGGCTCCAAAAGTCTGACTGAATCTGGCACGCGCCATGCAGGTGAAGCATAGATTGGGAACGGGCGGCCTGGGTGGCCGTCAGGAGGCTGGAGGTCAGTGTTGCGAAGACGCGGGTGCCAGACAGCTGAGGCCTGGATGGCAGAGAGGAAGGGGAGCGGGGGTGGCTCTGGGAGATGCGGGAGATTGAACGATGGGGGAGCGGGCAGAGCAAGCAGGGGTGAGGGAGCAGCAGAATTGAAGGTGATCCTTGGGGTCCTTGCTGAAGGGCCTGTGTGACACGGGGCACCCTCCGTGGAAACGAGGAACGTGACAAATGTGGCGGAGGATTCAGCATCAGGAATTAAATAATCAAAACACAAAGTAGGACTTCAGCGTTGGTGCATCACGTTTCGAAGGAGAACCAGAGGCCCCCCGTGCTGATGAGCTGCTGTGACGTGGACCCTCGGAGCCCACTCTTGGCCCAGCCGGCATGGCCTGCCTGCAAGCCCCTTGACCGCATGCCTCAAGAGCTCTCTTAGTTCAAGACTTTTTTTTCATGTTTATTTATTTTTTGAGAGAGAAAGAGAGAGAGCGTGAGCAGGGGAGGGGCAGAGAGAGAGGGAGACGCAGAATCCGAAGCAGCTCCAGGCTCGACGCAGGGCTCGAACCCACGAACCGCGAGATCATGACCTAAGTGAAAGTCGGACGCTTAACCGGGCCCTCACAGGTTGAGCTCCCCGAGCGCGAGGGGCGCTTCCCTGGGACATGATCCTGAAGCACGCGACGACGAAGGAGCGTCTAGAGAAACGGCAGACCCCACGCGGGGACGCCGGTGTGCGTCTCCCGGGAGGGCTCTGGGGGGCAGGGCCGGGTCTGGTGGCCGCCGCAGGTGCTCGGCAAATACTCTTAAGCTACTGTGTGCACGAGCAAGGACACAGTGGAAAGTGACTGGGTACCTTCGGTCCGTGACCCCCTCAGCCAGTCCGCAAGCGACGTCCATAGGGCGGTTCCCAGCAGCCGTTACGCGCGCTCGAGGCCGTGTTCCCCGTGTTCGGAATGGCCCCTATTTGCCGTAATGGAGGAACAAAGAGGCACAGGTGTAGCCGAGAGTGTGGGGGGTGCTTTGTCCTGAGGGGAGGGGTGCGGGAGCAGGGACGGGGCGTGTGCCCTGAATTGCAGGGGAGGGAAGGTGCGTTCTGGTGAGGAAGACGGGTGAGCGGTGGGCACGGGCAGAGGCCTGCGTTGTCACATAAAGTGGTGGGGCCTTTTCTTCGTAGTCAGCAGAACGGAGTGTGGTGCCCGAGGAGGGGGCGGTGGGCCCACACTGGTCCTTCTGACAGAGTAGAGGGAGGACACGCCGCCCCGTCGGCCCGCGTGGCCCAGATGCGCCACCTGTGCTGGCAAGTCTAGTCCCAGCTCTGAGCGCAGGCGCCTGGGGGCAGCACCCTGGGGCTCCGGTGGGGCGAGGCCCTGAGACCTGGCCCAGCCCTGCCTTCCACACCAGCCTTAGGTTTCGGGGACCCACCCTGCGGGCCCTGTGCTCTGCGCCTCCATCTCCCTTCCCGTCTGGTGGGCTCAGGGTTCACATCGAATGTTCCTCTCCTGCAGAACAAGAAAAAAAAGAAGACAGATTTCATTCCCTACAGAGATTCCGTGCTGACCTGGCTGCTCCGGGAAAACCTAGGTGAGGACTCTCGGGTCACCTGTCCCCGGGGTTCTGCCTCCCACCCAGGGCCACCGTCTTGCCTTCCCTCCTGGGCTGGTGGCCAGCGACGGGCTGAGGAAAGCAAGTGTGGGGATGCAGCGTGGCCCCTGGAGCCCCAGAACACACACACCTGTATCGGTGCTCCCACTTCAGGCCTGTGACACCCAGACCAAGTCCCCACCCCTCCCAGGACACCATGATTCTGGGGGGCCCTGCTTGCTTGCTGGGTTTTTGGCAGGTGCCATATGTCACCCCTTTTCTGAGCTACTGAGAGACAGAGAGGGAGATGGAGACTGAAACGTTGCCGATACTGATCCCTTCCCACCCAAAATTAGCCTCGGGGGCCCTCCCTGGCTCTGTTTACAGCTTGGGAGACCGACACCCAGGAAGGTAAACTGAGTCACGGGCTGATTTGATGAACGTAGGCAGCTGGGATCCACAGCCTTCCTCAGCTTCATGGCTCTGGTGTGAGGGCTTGAGCTGGCCGACCCTGCACCCCGGAAGCAGCCTGGCTGATCCTCAGGTCAGGCTAGCGATGGGTGCCAGCTGGGTGCTCCCGGGGGGTAGGTGACCCCCTCTGAGAGCGGATGGTGTTGTCCTGGGAATGTGTTCCTTTGCCTGAGATGTGGGCCAGGAAGGAGGCCTTTCCCACAGGGCCAGGGCCACCCCCAGGGTAGGGGCAGTTGTCACCTGATGCCGGGCTCCATGCCACCCTGGGCTGGGAATCTGACATTAAATATTGAGAAAAATGTTCCAAATGAGAAAGATAAAAGTGAAAGAAATCATTGCATCTGGAGGTGGATTGAAATGAATGTTGTCTTCCTGAAGAAATTATCATCCTGACTTTGGGAGGAAATGCTCCTCTCTTCATTAGGGGGAGGGGAGGCTGGCTGTTGTAAAATAAACCCAAACGTGGGAAAAGCGCTCTGTAGAAGAAAATAAGGCACCCACTAAGTGATGAAGTCCGGACTCCCTGCTCCGTTCACACAGTTGGCCCGTGACTCAGTTTACCTCTCTGGGCCTTAGCCTCCCCAGCATAAATGTAGGAGGGGAGGGGTGCTAAGGTGGGGAGGGGGGAGCCCCCACGACCTGGTCTTCTTCCTACAGGCGGGAACTCCAGGACAGCGATGGTGGCGGCCCTGAGCCCCGCAGACATCAACTACGACGAGACCCTGAGCACGCTGAGGTGTGTCCTCCAGGGAGGCAGGCACCCTCCCCCCGCCTGGCTCCCGGGGAGAGTGGGTCTCTCTGCACCCGAGTCAGGAGCACCACTTTGGGGGGTCCTCTCACCCGGGACTCCTCGAGGCTCCAAGCGGCTGTCGGGACGCCTGGGTCTTCAAGGGCCCATTCCATCCTTGCCACCCTTGGGGCTTCGAGCAACCCAAGACCCCCGTGGTCCCCAACCAGGTCTCTGATTAGTCAAGGGGCACCGTGTGTTCTAAAGGTCCCTCTGGCTACAGGGCGGGCACCCCGGGTGGGGAGCCCACGAGCTGCCTGGGTCCCGCACCACCAGCAGTGAAAGGAAAGCTGGGTATGGGTCCTGATATAGGCACAGTGGCCCCACTGACTCAAGTGGCAAGAGCCCCTGCTCTGTGTCACAGCCCCTGGGTCCCCACTCTGGAGGCCCTCCCTGCCACAGCTGCCCGGGGCAGGGCTCTGGGTGCCCCCGGGCCCACTCGGCCCCAGGCACAGCCCACAGTCCCCTTGGCCTCCCAGGTACGCCGACCGGGCCAAACAGATCCGCTGCAACGCTGTCATCAACGAGGACCCCAACAACAAGCTGATCCGCGAGCTGAAGGACGAGGTGACCCGGCTGCGGGACCTGCTCTATGCCCAGGGTCTCGGGGACATCACCGACAGTGAGTGTCCCTGCCCACCTGTCCTGGGCAGTGCAGCCGGGCCAGAGTGGCCTCCCTCTGTGGGACAACCCCCCCCACTCGCTGGCTGCGGCCCAGCCGGGGCTGGTCAGGCGGCCTTCACGGCCTTGCCGCCCGAATCCTGGCCCTGCTGAGTCCCCGTGCGACCCCTGCCACCCCCACCCCCGGTGGGAGCCTGGGGTTTCTGTCCTCGACCTGGGTGGACGGCACGGTTTGGGTCTGGAGCTGGCCCAGGCAGGCCACGGACGTTTTCCCCAGAAGCCACGTTGGCAGGCCGTGGGTGCGGGGGTTGCAGTGGTCCCCGTGCGTCCGCTGGAGACCCCCCCACCCCCGCCACCCTGCCCGGTGCCCGGCCTGCGATGGGTGTGCCTCAGACCCTCTGGAGACAAACCTTTTCTTCTGTTTCTCTGTCTCTCCTCCCTCCCCCACGCTCCCCTCCCCGTAGCCAACACTGTGCCCGGAGGACCCAAATGTGTGTATCCCCCTCGCTGCTCTCTGCACCCCCGCTTCTGTGCCCGCTGTGCGGGGCATAGGGCAGCACGGCGGGGGGAGCCCACCCAGCCTTCCGCTGCCCTCCCCTCTTTCAGGGGCTGGGGACAGCAGCCACCTCGTTCACAGACACCCCTAGGTAGATGCAGGCCACGCTGCCCTGTGAGCCTGTGTTCTGGGTTCAGTCCCGTGTCTGTATGGGAAACCGAGGGCACGGGGAGGCCTGGTGCGGTCAGGGCCCTGTCGGGCCAGAAGTGGCCGAACTCGGCCTGTCTGAGCGCCCTGCAGCCCCAGAGGCCTGGGAACGTCAGCCGGCACCGCAGGGCCAGGAGAGCCAGAGGGCATGCCGAGGCCCGGGCTTGTCCCCTGGCTCCCAGCTCCGGCCTCCCCCAGAGCTCCCCTTCCCGGGGGAATGCCCGTGTGCCCTGGCCTCGGGCCTGGCTCCCTGCGGCATGGATGTGTGGCGTGGCGCCTCCCTGACCCAGGGGCCACAGGCGCCCCCGTTGTCCCTGGCGCCCCGTGCTGTCCTATGTTTGCCGCTGCTCTGCTGTGGGTCTGCTTCCGCCAGGAGGGGTCTGAGCATCTCCCACGCTGGGGGGCATACTCGCCTCAAATCCCAGGCCTTAGGCTCTCAGGGTGCAGGGGTCCCCAGTTCACCTCTCCTCCAGGGCATGCTTGGGGCTGATTCCTATGCTCAGCGGGGCCGGACGGTTAGCGCAGCGCCATCCCCGCAGCTCGGGCGCGTGGCGGGCCAGGCAGGCGATGGGTACCGGGGGTGGGCGCCCACGGCACAGAGGCTGAGGACGGGCATCAGGGCCCTGGGTGTAGGAAGGCCATGGGGCAGTGATGGCAAAGGGTGGTAGACGGGGTGGGGGTGCAGGGAAGTGGCTCCCAGGTGTCAGGGAGCGGGTGCAGGGCCAGGCGGGGTGGGGAGGGGAGAGGCACTCGGGCCGGTGCCCAGCTGCTGCCGGGGTGGAGTGGGGGCCTCTGGGGCCGGGTCCCCGGTGGGGAGGTGGGGGGCAGCCCTGCATGTGCTTGTCCGGCGCTGGGCCCCAGGCTGCACCCGCTGGCCGTGTCTGCTTCCTGCCTCTCTTCAGCCACCTCTTGCTTCTTCCCAACTTGGTCTTTCTTTTCTCTCCCTCCCGTCTGTCTGCCCGCCCTCTCCTTCCCTTCCTCCCGTAGACGTGTCCGACCTTGAGAACAATAACCGTAACCGTGGCGGGGCGGAGTTGAGTCCAGCCCCTGACAATCTCTCCACAGTGACCAACGCCCTGGTGGGCATGAGCCCCTCATCCTCGCTCTCGGCGCTGTCGAGCCGCGCCGCCTCCGTGTCCAGCCTGCACGAGCGCATCTTGTTTGCCCCGGGCAGTGAGGAGGCCATCGAGAGGCTGAAGGTGAGGGCTCGTCCGGCGGGGACACCACCCCCGGGGGGGCGGGCCCGAGACTTCTCCTGCCGAGACGGCCGTGCTAGCGGCTCAGGGTGGGCTTGCTGGGAGGCGGGGCGGCCGTCTGGACCCACCCCCGTGCCCCCTCCGGCACCCAGCGAGGGGTCCCCGTTGCCGAGCAGGGCAGGCACGAATGCTGGGGCTTCTGGGCTCAACCTGCTCCAAGCATTCACCTCCCCCGACCCCCACCTCGGCAGCGGCCCATCAGTGGGCGGGCTGCCCTTTAGTTTATTGGTGTTCCTTGAGCGGATGACTGAGGGTGGCGGGCTGTGTGGGGCTGGGGGCTCAGGACCTTGGAGACAGAAGCACAGAGTCTGGACCAAGGCTGGCGTGGGGCATGGGGTGGGCGGGATGCCCGTCGGGGGGTGCAGCTGGGAAGCTAAGCAGGAGCTGGCGCAGATGCTGGAAGTGCTCGTCCCCTGTCCCAGCAGTGGCTGAGGGTCATCCGTGCCTCAGAATTAGTCTCTCGGTGTCCCCACACGTCTCCCAGGGTCCCCCGTGTCTCCCAGTGTCCCCCACGTCTCCCAGTGTCCCCCACGTCTCCCGTGTCCCCCCACGTCTCCCAGTGTCCCCCCGTGTCTCCCAGTGTCCCCCACGTCTCCCAGGGTCCCCCCACGTCTCCCAGTGTCCCCCACGTCTCCCAGTGTCCCCCGTGTCTCCCAGTGTCCCCCGTGTCTCCAGTGTCCCCCCACGTCTCCCAGTGTCCCCCCACGTCTCCCAGTGTCCCCTACGTCTCCCAGGGTCCCCCCACGTCTCCCAGGGTCCCCCGTGTCTCCCAGGGTCCCCCGTGTCTCCCAGGGTCCCCCACGTCTCCCAGTGTCCCCCGTGTCTCCCAGTGTCCCCCGTGTCTCCAGTGTCCCCCGTGTCTCCAGTGTCCCCCGTGTCTCCAGGGTCCCCCGTGTCTCCAGGGTCCCCCGTGTCTCCCAGGGTCCCACACGTCTCCCAGTGTCCCCCGTGTCTCCCAGTGTCCCCCGTGTCTCCCAGTGTCCCCCGTGTCTCCAGTGTCCCCCCACGTCTCCCAGTGTCCCCCGTGTCTCCCAGTGTCCCCCCACGTCTCCCAGGGTCCCCCGCGTCTCCCAGGGTCCCCCGCGTCTCCCAGGGTCCCCCTGCATCTCCCAGGGTCCCCCGTCCCACGTCTTCCAGGGTCCCCCGTGTCTCCCAGGGTCCCCCGTGTCTCCCAGTGTCCCCCCACGTCTCCCAGTGTCCCCACGTCTCCCAGTGTCCCCACGTCTTCCAGTGTCCCCCACGTCTTCCAGTGTCCCCCCGTGTCTCCCAGTGTCCCCGCGTGTCTCCCAGTGTCCCCACGTCTCCCAGTGTCCCCCCACGTCTCCCAGTGTCCCCACATGTCTCCCAGGGTCCCCCCCTGTCTCCCAGTGTCCCCACGTCTCCCAGTGTCCCCCGTGTCTCCCAGTGTCCTTGCATGTCTTTCAATGTCCCTGCATGTCTCTCAGTGTCCTGCATATCTCCCGGGGTCCCCACATGTCTCCCAGGGTCCCCCCATGTCTCCCAGTGTCCCTGCGTGTCTCTCAGTGTCCTGCATGTCTCACGGGGTCCCCAAGTGTCCCCTAGGACCCACGTGTCTCTCGGTGTCCTCGTGTGTGTGCATTTCTCTCCCTCCAGGTTTATTTTGCCTTTTCCCCTACGGTCTGGCTGTGTCCACGGGAGACACTTGTGTCCGTGGACACATTAGCCCCTCAGCTCTTCATCGTGACCTTTCAGGCCTGGTACTGCCTGAACAGACCTGGGGACGGGGGTCTCGGGGCCCTTCGCCTGGCAGCCTGGCCTCTGCCCCTGGCCCAGCCCCCCTCATTGTGCTCTGTCCTGCTGCCCAGGAGACGGAGAAGATCATAGCCGAGCTCAACGAGACCTGGGAGGAGAAGCTGCGGCGGACGGAAGCCATCCGGATGCAGAGGTGAGGGGTGGGGGGCCGAGGACTCCGGCGCAGCCCTGGGCCCCCGCTCCTGGGGGTGGCCGCGCCCTCACCCAGGGACTCCCACCCGATGGCCCCGCTGACCTGATCCCTGATCAGGTGACAGGTCCCTCCAAGTGGACGCCTCAACTCTCTGACCGGATGGGACGCCGCGGGCCGTGGCCAGAGCCCCACTGGCTCCCGGGCGGCTGATTGGTGGGTTGGGGGCCAGGCAGCTCCTGTGGCCTCGGGCCTCGAGCTGACCCGGACACTGTCCCCCGCAGGGAAGCCCTGCTGGCCGAGATGGGCGTGGCCATGAGGGAGGACGGTGGCACACTGGGTGTGTTTTCTCCCAAAAAGGTAGGTGCTCTTTCTAGCTCGGGGGCACAGCCCTGCCTGGGACAGAGCCGGGCGACACACAACCCTTGGTGCATGTCAGCTTCTCTGGGAGGGGAGGGGACAGGTCCAGATGCCGGGGGCCATGCTCGCCTACAGCCACGCCTCCCCTGTGTGGGAGACGCCCTCTTGGAGCTCAGCCGAAGTCAGGCCTGGCTGTCCCAGCCGGGACCCCTCTTCCCCCACCCAGGCCCAGCTCGCTCACCGGGCCTGGCCCTGTCAGCAGGGGGGCCTCCAGAGCCCCATCCCCCCCGGTAGCTCAGGTAGGGCGTAGCGTCAGCGTTCGGGAAAAAGAGTCTGATAATTCTAGGACTCAGGCCCCCCGCCCACCTCCAAGAGCACCAGACCCTTGGAGCCCTTAAGAGCCGTGTTCCGAGCCGAGAAGGCTCAGAGGTGGCGTCAGTGTGTTCTGATCACGTGGGCTCTCTGGGCCCTACCCCGACATCTTGTTAGCGAGGAAGTGCCTGCCCGCCCTCCTGGGGGCAGCCGCGTGTGGCTGGCCCCTCACCTGGCTCTGTCTGGGGCAGGAGGGGGGCTCTGTGCCACCAATGCCCGAAGCCAGGTGGCACGCAGAGCCCCTGCGGTGCTGCCGGGGACCCCGTAGGGAGAGAAGGGCGGACGCTGGTGTGATACCTGCATCGGCCAGGTGGCCACTCCCTGGGGACGGGATGGGCTCCTCTGGCTGCTTCCGCCCTCGTGCACTACAGGCTGGGGGGACGGCGGGTGCTGAGGCTGGGGTGGGGGTGCTTGCGATGACCTGGGGCAGGCCAGGAAGGGGGGGGCGCCCAGCTTCATGTGCCTTCTGGAGAGACCTAGAGTTTTCTTAGGGAGCATGCCCCTTCCGGGAGGGTGGCACGTACCCCAGGGCCGTGGGGACGGTGCCCTTGGGACACCCAGGACGCGTGGCACCCTGGAGGCCTTTGTCTGGTGGCAGAGGGATTACCTGGCCGCGCTGGGGTGGGAGGACAGCCCTGGGGACCGCCGAGGGCGCCTCCTCCTGACAAGGGCGGCATTCCCGGGACTCGGAAGCAGCGCCGTGCCAGCCCAGCCCCCTGCCCAGCCCTGCAGGGCGAGCACCTTGCTCGCGAGAGCGGGCGTGGGAGACAGCTGTCCGTGTCTGATGACCGCACAGGGTGTCAGCGGGGCCACGTGGGGTTTGTAGCTTGTATTGGAGGCAGCTTGTTCCAAGGTGCCGGGGGTGGGGGTGGTGACTGAGGAAGTGTCCCAGCCCCCACCGTGTTGCGGGACCCTGGCCTGGGACACGGTGAGGGGTGGCGGTCCTGAGCTCAGGAAGTGTGTCGAGGGCCCGGGTGCCCTAGGAAGGGGCAGGTTGCTGAGGGCGGGCGCTGGTCGCCTTCGGCAGGCCCGTGGACAGGAGAGGGGTTCGGGCGGGTGGCTCTGCAGGGACTTCCTCCACAGCCCCCGGGCCAGAGCCCTCCCTGGCCAGCATCCTAATCCTTCCGGGCTCACAGATCCATGGGGACCCTCAGCTCCCGGGTGCTTCTGGGGTGGAGGAACGGACCCAGAGCCTGGTGCCATGGCCCTACGGGACCCAGCCTGCGCCCTGCACATCTGGGGACCCGCCACTGCCCCCAGACCCCCCGCTTCCTAACTCCCCCTAAGTGCCTCCTTCCTGGTGCTGAGCTCCTCACGGAAGCCATGCCGGGAGGATGCTGCGTCCCCAGGAGGCCAGGCCCAGGGCTGGTGGTGGTCTGGAGCCCGCGGTCAGCCTGTGGTCAGGGGTCAGCCCATACTGGGTGGCCTGGGCGCCTCCCCAGGAGAGGTGACCCTCCTTTCTCTCCAGACACCGCATCTCGTCAACCTAAACGAGGACCCGCTGATGTCCGAGTGCCTCCTGTACTACATCAAGGATGGGATCACCAGGTGAGGGTCGTGGGGTGGGGCAGGCTCCCCGGCACAGGAGCCGCCAAGCCTGGGCACTGCTGGTCGCCGGAGGCAATGCCAAGGGCCACCCTGGGCCACGTGGCCCCCTGGGCTGGGCTGCGTTTGGGGCTTGCCCATGGGGTGGGGCAGGCCAGTGGGTGGCGGCCTGTGTGCTGGGTCCCGCCAGCGCTGACAGCCCCCTGCCCCTCCCCAGGGTGGGCCGGGAGGATGCGGAGAGGCGACAGGACATCGTCCTGAGCGGGCACTTCATCAAGGAGGAGCACTGTGTCTTCCGGAGCGACTCCCGGGGCGGCAGCGAAGGTACCTCCACGCTTGGGTCCCCACCTCTGCCCTGGCGCCGCTGACTGTCAGTCCCCAGCAGGGCCACTGGCTCAGCTGCTGCTCCCTAGTCAGGCCCAGGGAAGCCCCTTCATGACCTCGGTGCGCTGAGGGTGGGGCTGTGGACTCGGGGGCCCCCTGCCCATGCCATGAGTGGTTGGGGGGTCTTCGTCGGGGGAGGAGGATGGGGAGCCAAGAGGAATAAACCTTTTTTACCCCATGCCCTGCTGTTGGCTGTGGGGTGGCCATCTGTCCCCGTCCCCAGCCTACCTGCTGGTCTTCGTCCCCATTGCCCGTCCTGGACGTGGCTCGGGGAGGCACTGTGGTGTCTGTGCGCCGTTGCAGGGCCCACGGCCCCCAGCAGCAGGCATGCCCCCCGCAGGCATCTGGTCTGCACCCACCATGTGGCCTGGACACCTAAGGGTGAAGGCCTTGAGCAGGGTTGGGGACATTGGCTCTCCCAGAATTCTGTCTCCAAAGCCTGCCCTCCTCTGGTGGATGGGCTCCAAGCTCTAGGGGGCTCTGGGGCTCCTGGGGACACGCTAGCCACTGGTCCCCATCTGTGCCCACCTGGGGACCCTGAGGGCGCCCTGGTTCTCTGACTTGGGCACAGGCGCCTCCCCCTCAGGCGTCACCCCCCTCATCTGCTGTGTGGGGTGCAGCCCTCCGCTGGCCTCTCTGGGGCCCAGGCGATGGGCTGCCTGGCGGCCGTCAGGCTTTGCAGGGATGGGAGGGCCTGATGAGGGCTGCACCCAGGTGGCCAACCGAGCCGAGCCCTGCGTGCCGACAGGGGGCACTGCCGTCCAGGGTGACAGCCCCTCACTCCCTTCCTTCTCCCTACCCTCCCCCTCGCCGTCGTGTAGCCGTGGTGACGTTGGAACCCTGTGAGGGGGCAGACACATATGTCAATGGCAAGAAAGTCACGGAGCCCAGCATCCTGCGGTCAGGTATGGCTGGGGCCTGGAGACGGGCATCCCCTTCTCCCCTGGTGTCTCGGGACCGGGCCTGGGGGTCATGCCTTGGCTGGGCGTCTCCTTCCTGGGCCCTGGGCCCTGGGCCCCAGGGCAGGGAGGACAGTGAGGGTGACTGAGTGTGGCTTGCCAGGACGGCGGGGGAGGAGCTGAGGGAGGCCTTAGGGAGGACTCCCCAGCAGACGGGCTGGTGTGGGAGGAGCTGGGCCGTCTCTGTGGGCCTCAAGTTGGAAGGAAACTAGGCTGTCCAAAGAGCCCTTGTAGGCAGGACTGTCCCAGATGGTGGGTGCTGCTGCCCTGGTGGCCATGTCTGCCCCGGAGGGTCCTGCAGACCAGTGGACCCTGGGCCTGGGCACGTGCAGACCGGCCCCTGCCCTGCTCCCATTGAGTGGGGAGACCAAGGGGAAGGGCAGGGCGTGTGAGCCTGCCCTGCAGCACCCTGCGGGGGGCGGGAGGGGTGCACGCACAGCCCGCAGGCCTGGAGGAGTGGCCAGGGCTGGGGCACCGGGGCAGGAGGCCGGGCTGGCCTGGGGGCGAGCGAGCGTGGGCTGTGCACAGGACCTCACGTTGGAGAAAGCCCCAGGATGGTTGTGCAGACAGCACTGGCTGCTGTATGGGGGGGCGGGTTCTGGCGACAGTGAGGTCTTGGCTGTGGGGTTGGTGCCTGGCTGGCCCGGAGCGGGGACCCGGGGTGGTTCCTGGGGGCCCTGCCCGTGTTCCGCTTTTCCCATCTTCCGGCCCTCGCCCCTTGAGGCCACGCCAAGGCCACAGGCTACTCCCCTAATTGCCGGCGGTGCTTCCGTCCCCCAGGAAACCGCATCATCATGGGGAAGAGCCACGTGTTCCGATTCAACCACCCCGAGCAGGCGCGGCAGGAGCGCGAGCGCACGCCCTGCGCAGAGACGCCCGCCGAGCCTGTGGACTGGGCCTTCGCGCAGCGCGAGCTGCTGGAGAAGCAGGGCATCGACATGAAGCAGGAGATGGAGCAGAGGTGAGGCCCGGGGCGGGGGTCCCCGTGGCCTCCCCGCGCCCCCGCCCCCGCGGCGCCCGCTCACCCGCGCCCGCCCTCACAGGCTCCAGGAGCTGGAGGACCAGTACCGCCGGGAGCGGGAGGAGGCCACCTACCTGCTGGAGCAGCAGAGGCTGGTGAGGGCGGCCCGCCTGCCAGACCCCTGCCCGGGGTGGGGGTGGGGGGCCCGGGCGGGAGGTGGGGGGCCTGGCCTCCACGTGGCTCCGCACCCCCCCGCCGCCAGGACTACGAGAGCAAGCTGGAGGCCCTGCAGAAGCAGATGGACTCCAGGTACTACTCGGAGGCGAACGAGGAGGAGGAGGAGCCGGGGGACGAAGGTGAGCAGCTCCGAGGCGGCGCCCGGGCCTGGGCTGGGCTGGGCTGGGGTCTCTGGTCTGAGGAGCACCCCCAGCCCCCCCCTTGGACGTCGGCCGGTCAGCACCTTTGCCCTGGGGTCCCCGGCCCATCCCTCAGGGAGCCAGGCCTCCTTGTCCCCGGGAGGCGCCCACAGAGGCAGGGTCAGGGGGAGGCTGCGCTGCAGCAGGAGAGCACAGGGGTGTGCACGCGCAGGGGTGGTGTGCACGCGCAGGGGTGGTGTGCACGCGCAGGAGTGGTGTGCACGCGCAGGGGGTGTGTGCACGCGCAGGTATGTGTATTACAGGGGTATGCTCACATAGGTGCGTGCGTGTAACAGGTGTGTGCTCGCGAAGGCGTGTGCATGCACAGGTGTGTGTGTGTACAGGGGTGTGCCTGCGCAGCTGTGTGCTCAGGCAGGTGTGTACACATACAGGCATGTGCTCACACTCGTGGGGTATGATGGGAGCGGCCAGCTGGTGGGGAGCACGGTGCCGGAGGGGTGTCTGATGTCCACCCTGTGTCTGTCCTGCCTGCACGAAGCTGGTGCTCTCCCCCAGGACTGGGTCATGGCTCCTCACCTCAAGACCCCCTTTCTTAACATCATCTTGGGTGCCCCCCCCAGGGGCTGACCTCACGCGGCGGGGGGCACGAGGGTGGCAGGGCAGAGCATCTGGGGTGGAGTCAGCCACGGGGTTGGCATCCGGCTTGGCCCCTCTGGTCAGCTGGACAGCACCTTTGTGCTGGTGTGACCTCAGCCTCCCTTGCCTGGAACCGTCTTCCCTCGGGGCAAGCGGCCTGGGTGAGAGGGCCTGAGCCTGGGAGACCCGACCGCCCCCACCTGGTGTCCCTGCTCCCTTCCTCCTGCGGGCACAGCGGGCAAAGGTGTGTGAGCTGGGACAGGGTAGGAAGGTCAGTCCCAGTGTGCCCGCCTGCCTGTCCTGCGGGCACGTGCCCCCCCCCCCCGATGCTGCCCCCTGCTGGGCTGACCTGACTCAGAGTGCCCCGGTTCTGATCAGCCCCTCTGGCTGCTCCCGGGCGGATCCTTCTGTGGGTTTCCTTCTCTCCGAGAGCCTGGGACAGTGAGTGCGGAAGTGGGGGGCCCCAGCACAGATGCCCCCCCCAGGCCAGAGTGGGGAACAGTGGCGTTTCCATGACGACCGCACGTGCCTGTCCCCACAGTCCAGTGGACGGAGAGGGAGTGCGAGCTGGCGCTGTGGGCCTTCCGGAAGTGGAAGTGGTACCAGTTCACGTCTCTGCGGGACCTGCTGTGGGGCAACGCCATCTTCCTCAAAGAGGCCAACGCCATCAGCGTGGAGCTCAAGAAGAAGGTGGGCGCCGCCCCGCTGCCCGCCCAGCCTCCGCCCTCACGCTGCCCTGCTCTTGGGGCCCCGTACAGGGGTGGGCAGAGCGAGGGAGGCCCGGGGACGGCCCGAGGTGCACGCACACCCGCCCCGCTCCGGGAGCAGAAGGTTCTGGTCAGCCGTGTGGGGGCGTGCGGCCCGGACGTGGGGCCCGGCTCCCCCCCCGCCAAGGGGCTGACGGGCGGCCGTCTTCCGCTGCCGCAGGTCCAGTTCCAGTTTGTCCTCCTCACGGACACGCTGTACTCCCCGCTGCCGCCAGACTTGCTGCCCCCGGAGGCTGCCAGGGACCGGGAGACGCGCCCCTTCCCGCGCACCATCGTGGCTGTGGAGGTCCAGGACCAGAAGAACGGGGCCACCCACTACTGGACGCTGGAGAAGCTCAGGTGTGGCGGGCGGGCTGCCGGGGCGGCGGGGTGGGCGCGGGCTCCCGGGGCTCCCGTGTCCCTGCGCCTGTCTCTCCTGCTGGAATTGCTTTTCCAATCGCAAGGCGGAAGGGTTGGCATAGAGCCCAGTTCTCCTACGGCCGCGGTGGTCAGGTGTACCGCGCTTTCGGGAGGAGCGGCGGGTGAGGCTGGCAGCCGCAGGAAGGCGGCCGGGGGCCAGCAAGCACGCTGGGCAGAGGCCGCGTCCTCAGAAGGGCTCGGCAGCAGCCAGCCTCTCCACCGGGGGGCTGTAGGCACCCCAGGGGAAGACGGAAAAGGTCGGAGGGCCTGAGGGGGCCGGGCTGGGGGCGAGGCTGTCCCTGCGAGCGGCGTCCCTCCTCCGGCTGCGCCTGCGCGGTCCCCCAAGCTCCTTCCAGGGGGTGGCTCTTCACTGAGAAAGGGGACTGAGTGACACGCAGGCCGGTGCCGTCGAAGGAGAGTCTAACTAACACTACTCACGGTGTGCTAGAAACGAGGCGCCCTGCGTGTACCGGGCCATGGGGGGCGGGAGGGAGCGCGGGCCATCAGGAGGGAGACGGGCAGAGTGAGCGGGCCCGCGGCCTCCGTGGGGGTCTTTGTGACCCGGGCGGGGCAGGGCCAGCTCTGGGACTGGCCGGTTTGAATTGCTCTGCTGGGTTTCGGCATGCAGAGCCCGCCCCTGGCTGCCTGGAGCCTGGCTCTCGGGTGATTTCGGGCAGGGGGACGCTGGCCTGGAGTGTGAGTCAGACACGAGTGGGTGGCAGTGGTTTTCCATTTTCTGGTGAAAGGTGGGCCCACCCACAAATTGTCACTGTCCCCGGGAACCAGCTGGCCCAGCCAGCCAGGCTCCAGAAGTGTCGCGACACCCAAAATACGGAGAAGGAAAGCTGTAAAAGCCCTCACACGGTCCTGCCGCGACCTGCCCCACACAGCCTCGCACGCTCACAGATGTCTGCACACCTTCCTCTCCCGTGTGGCTCGCTCGCATGCTCACACGCACGTGCGGGCACACACACAAGCATGCGCGCTCTTGTAAGATTCACGCGAACAGATGTGCCCGCTCAGGCCGCGCCCCCCCCCCCCCCCCCCCCCCCCCCCCGCACCGCGCTGTGGCCGGGACGAACCTGTACGGATCACCGCCGAGCCCGACGGGGAAGCACCTTCATTCCCTCTCTTCCAACAAGGACGCTGGTCGGTTTTCCCGGGGGCGATAATCTTTGAAACACGTCCCGTTCCGTATCCAGTCACCGATTTGCCATCCGTTCCCGGGAGCGTCCAGGGCTTTGTGACACGATCTCCCCCTCCCACCTGGGCGTCCCCACCGCGGCTCTGGCCCGGGTTCTCACTCCGTTTCCCCTCCAATTCCCAGCCCGTGCTGCCTGCTCAGGCCTCGCTGTCACTGTGCCAGCCTGGAGAGCGTGTAGCTCATCTGGAGGTGTTCTTGCTCAAGGTCGACAGACTCCGAGGACCCTCAGGGCCTGTCAGCAAACCGCGCTGAGCCCGGGTGGCGCAGAGCTGTGGCCGGAGCTGGCCCAGCCCGCCGTCCCCGGCAGCAGGAGGTGCGCGTGCTGCCCGCTCTGCCCGGGCCCATGGTCGTGTCTGTGTCCCTGCAGGCAGCGCCTGGCCCTGATGCGGGAGATGTACGACCGGGCCGCAGAGGTGCCCTCCAGCGTCATCGAGGACTGTGACAACGTGGTGACTGGTGGAGACCCCTTCTACGACCGCTTCCCCTGGTTCCGGCTGGTGGGCAGGTGGGCGCCTCCTTCCCTCCCTGGGCTGAGAGAGAGAGAGAGAGAGAGAGAGAGAGAGAAGGGGGGGCAGGGAGCGGACCTCCTCCCAAGGCCAAGTCCCCTGGCTGGGCCCTGGCCCTGACACGAGGAGGGAGCCACTGAGAGCCCCTTGCCCGCCTTGAGGCCCCTGACCTTGTCCTTCCTGGGTCTGAGGCACCCTGCCCCAGCCACTCCTGTCCACAGACCAGCGGGCCCTGTAATTTGGGGACCGAGGAGGGGAGGGTCCTGGTGCGGGGCTGTGGCCGCCGGGCTGCACGTGTCCATACGTGTGAATGCGCGGCCTGGTCAGGCTGAGTCACCTGGTCCTCACGTGACCTTACCACACTTGGCGAGGATCGCGCCGGTGGGTACTTTCCAGAACCTTCTGTAGCCTTCCCCTGAACACACGTGTGGTTTCTTACAAGCCTGGGGATGGGATGCACTTTTGGTTCTTGTGTCTCTTAAAGCAGCACTCCTGACAGTCTGTGTGTTTGGTTTTGGTTTTGAACAGAAGCCCCCACCCCCGCCCTGTGCGTCCCTGGAGTAGCTGGTGTTAACTTCTCTCTGTCTTGTCGCACTAACCTCAGTTCAGTCATCTCTGGCTGCAACAGCTACCCTCTTCTCAACACATGCATGAGCGAGCGCATGGCTGCTCTCACCCCCTCCCCCACCTTCTCGAGCCCCGACTCCGACGCCACCGAGCCTGCCGAGGAGCAGAGCGTGGGGGAGGAGGAGGAGGAGGAGGAGGAGGAGGAGGAGGAGGAGGAGGAGGATCCGCAGGACGACGTCTTTCCGGAGCACGCGCTGTGCGACGGCCGGGACCCGTTTTACGACCGGCCCCCCCTGTTCAGTTTAGTAGGAAGGTTGGTGAGGTCGAGGACGGCATGCTGGGAAGGAAGCAGCTCTTTTGCGCAGGAGCACTGCTGCGGGCACCATTGGCCGCCGCCAGGGCGTGGCCCCCGAGCGGAGGGCGTGAGGGAGCTACAGGACTCCTGGCCATCGTGGAGTGTGCCCGGCAGGGAGAGCGGGCCCCGGTGTGAGAAGAGGCGGCGCTCCCGGAGCACAGCCGTCCGGCGCTGTGTGGCGGAGCCACGTCTACAGACGGGCCCTAGAACCCGGGGGAGGGGCCCCGAGCGGGGCCCCTGGGGGACACCTGGGAAAGCGGGGTCTGCGTCTGCGCACCTACCACCGGCGGCGGCTTCGCTTCCCTCCACCTCCTCGTGCCATTGAGGAGAAGGAGGCAGCCGGCCTGGCGGGCGGGAAGGCAGGGCAGGCACCCGGGCAGGGGAGAGTCTGCCTCTGAAGCGAGGGGCCCGCTGGGCCTCGCCTTTCCCTGAGCCTTTCTCCATCTAGAAGGTGAGGACAGTTCGATCCTCCTGACCTGGCTGTCACGGCGAGAGACGGCACCCGTGGCCCTGTGCCCTCGAGGCCATGCCCTTGGCAGCGGGCTCGTTACATTTTTCTGGATGGAAGAGGGAGGCCAAGGTCAGGAGTGGAGCACAGGCCCCTGGGAAGCCCAGACCCTGCAGGCAGAGTGGACAAATACAGCCGCCATTCACATTTTTTATTGTGATGGAATGGAAGCAAAAGAGACCAAGGAAAGCTCTAGAAAGCTAGCTGCCGTAGGAAGGCCTTCAGCCCACAGAACAACCGCATTTAGATTTTATACGTAGAAAAAGCGTAAGATAGTCTCAACAGCAGCCTTTTCCGAGCTGGAGGTGGCTTCCGTGGGCTAGGCCAGTGGGAGTTTCCACAGGTCTTGACCTTGGAGCAGTGGTCCTGGGAGCTGAAGGCTGAGGCCGGCCCCCAGATGCGGGTTCACGCTGGGAGCCCGGGACGGAAAGCCCACCAGCTTCTCCTGGAGGAAGCAGATTCCCACGGGCGCATGTCGTGGGGTGATTCTGACGAGCTGTGCCTGGGTGTGACGTGCTGGCCTCCCGGACAAACACGTGGGCTCTCTCCCTCTGAGATGGCCCGGGTCTGGGCCTCCTGCCCCGGGGAGAGTGGGCGGTAGCCCCAGGGGCCAGCTCCCCGCAGGCCTCTAGGAAGCCCTGGGCGGCTCCAGTGTCAGGTAGGCGTGGGCTCAGGGCGCAGGGGAGCGAGGGCGCTGGGGAAAATGGGGTGTGGGCTCTGCAGTCTCAGCCAGAAAGAGCTGGGTCCTTCCAACATTTCCCCTTCTGTGGATCTGAGATGTCACAAAACAACCAAACCAAACCAAAGTCATCAGGGAGAGGCCGGCCCCCCGACGGCGGGCGGTCTGTGTAGGGCCTCATCTGGAAATGCCCCCATCTTTTTGGTTTGGCAAGAATTGGCTTCTCCCGCGCAGCAGCTGTGCAGGCCAGGCCCTGGGAAGGAGCCCATCTTTGGTTTCCTTTTATCCTTCTGGAAGCTGCTGGCTCTCTCTCTCCAAAGCTTAAGCAGAATTGGGGCACCCATTCTTGTCTCCCTTTGGAAAGGCTTTCTTGGCCCCAGCATGCGTCTCTGCACCTCACCAACCTTGTGGTTAGCCCTGCCTCCTCCCTCCCGCCGCACTCAGCCCTGGCTCTGCTGCTCTGCCGCCTCCTTCTCTCCGGGCGGGTTTCAGCCTGCTTCAAGGTGCCCTCACCCCTGTGGACGGCCCCCCCCCAGTGTGGGGGCCCCTCACCAATGGCCAGGGTTAGCCCCCAGTGGCCTCTCCCTCCGGTGGTCTGGGGTGCCGGGTGAAGGAGGGAGGTGGGATGGGCTGACCCAGGCAGCAGAAGTGGCCTTTGGGGGCTCTGGTTCCCCCCCGGCCCCCAATAATCCTCCCTGCCTGGGGCACCGCTTTACATAGCGGGATGGGCAGGGAGCCGCAGAGAGGAGGGCGAGGGGCTGGCCGCCAGGGATGGAGGGTCCAGGGAAGGGGGGCGGGGGCGGCGGGAGGAGGGACTGCCCGAGAGGAGCGTTCCAGGCTCTGTGGGGGAAAAACGCTGACTTGCTGTGTGTCACACTGTGTGACCTGGGCCGGCGTGGCCAGTGCCTGAGCTCCCAGCTGGGGGCCCAGCGAGGCCGTGAGCCCCTCTGTGCAGCGGGCGCACCGTGGTTGGCAGGGCCCGCCGGCGGCGCTGAGGCTGTGCTGGTGCCGACGCTGATGTCAGGCCGGCCCGGCACGTGTGGGGCCGGGGAGCGGAGCCCGGCGTCTGTACCAGGGTCCCGTTCCTCCATTCGCGTCCTGGGTTCTGACGGCTGGGGTGGGCTCCGCCTGGGCTGTGGGGTCTTCCAGCCCCGGTTTGCAGACCTTCCAGGTTACAGCCGCCTCTCGGTGGTGGCTGCTGGGCCCCAGGGGTCCCTTCTGACTGAACGTGTCTGTCACCGTGTCAAGATTAGGTCTCAGGGAATAGGGGTGGCAGGGAGCAGCGAGGACCTCGCTCTCACCACATGCTCTTTTGTCTTCTGGGAGTGTCTACCGGGTGCCCTGGGGGCTGTGTGCAAGCGCTGTAGCCACCGCTGGGTTTTAAAGTTCAGACAAGGGGAGGAGAGGTGGCTGTGGACCCTAGGGGTTGATTTCATTGTGTGATCCCCCACCTCCAACCAGGGGGTGCCTCGAGGCCCCCACCCTGGGGCAGCCCCGCCGCTGGGGAGCACATCGGGGCTGGATTCGTCTAATGGTTTGAACTCAGAAATGGCAGGTTTTGATGCCATAAGCGGTTGGATATTTTTTCTTTTCTGACAGGAAATCCTAAAAGGCCAGGAGAGAATTGATCTACTTGACTAGTTAGCTGCACTAGGGCGGTGAGCACCGGACAGTGGCGGGTACTTAGTAGGGCGAGGGGCCTGCCTGCGGGTCTAAACCCCAGCTGGAGCTGCAGCTCGCAACCCCTGGCACCTCCGTTTCTGTCTTTGTGCCTCAGTTTTTGATCTGTGAGATGGGTACCGACCCCCTATCGCCCCAGCTCTCAGGCGAGGAAGACGCAGGCGCTTGGACTCAGAGGTGTCGGGGGTCAGGGCAGCTCCGCTCTCCTTGCCGGGGCGTGAGGAGTGGACGCAGTGCTGTCTCAGCTCCGGCCCCTCGTAAGCTCAGAGGCCCGGCCTCACAGGATTGCTTCCACCCACTGGTGGGGTGACTTTGGGCTTGGAGACACGAGAGGCCCCGCCCTACCAGTTTGTGGGAACCCCAAATCGGTGCCGCGCTACAGGTCCCTGAACCCACAGATTGGCACCGTGGCAGAAAGTCACGATAGGCTTTGTCTAGGGGCCCCTACAGAGCCAGGACAGGGCTGCCCGCCACTGCCTCACCTCCTGACCTGGGCCAGGCCCCACGCTCTGCCTGTCTCCCTCTGGCCTGGCCTGTGTCAGGGACAGGGGAGGAGAGTCAGGAAGCGGGTGGGCACAGATCCTGTGATCTCAGAAAGGGAGCAGGGTCACCTCTGGGGTGCTGTGAGCGGCGCTCCGGGTGGTCCCAGAGCCCAGGGCCAGCCCCTGTGGAATGGCCCCCAGAGCCTTCTAGGAAGGCAGCCCTGGGCCCGGGGCTTCGAAGTGGCCTGGGCTGGGTGGGAACGACCTTAAGCTCTCCTTCGCGGAGGCTACACCGGCTGTGGACATTCACAGGGCCAGCGGTGGGACGTGCCCCTCCGCTTCTGAGGGTCTTCCGGTTGGTTCCTTGTGAAGTACGGATGGAGGTGGGCAGCCCGTGCCTGGGGGCCCTGGGAGCCGCCTTTGTGCCTCCCAGCACAGGCTTTCCGCAGTGGGCCCTGCGCTGGGAGGTGGGGTGGGGGCTGACTTGAGGACCTGTGGCTTGGGGCGGTCCTGCTTGGTCCCCTCAGCGCTCTCCAGCGTGGTGGGATGGCCAGGCGGGGGCCCGGTCCAGGGCGCAGAGCAGGGTCTGGGCTCGTTCCCGCAGCCTGAGTCCCGGCTTCCCTCTGCTTCCCTTCCCCTCCTGGACCTCAAGGCTTTCCTTCTTTCATGGCCGCCCCCCGTCACCCACCCCCAATCTCTAGCAAAGGCCCTGGGCCAGGATTCTAGGAGCCCAGGGAGGGCAGGCCACCACCGTCCCTGTCCCGAAGCGAGTGCTGGGAGAGACCCACCGGCCAGCCTTGGCCAGACCCCGTCGACCGGCCGGGTGCCGAGTACTGCTGCCGCAAGGGGCTTCTGTGAGCCCCAGGGTCATTTTGTGATCAGGGCCACGGCTGGCTTTTGCCAACAGCTTCTGTGTCTCGTTTTGGTTGGGGCGGGGGGCGGGGGGGAGAGCCTTCACCCCTGTCCTTGCCAGGCAGACATGCCTGCACTGTCCATCAGTAGTTGTTCTTCATGGAGTTCCCCAGGACAGCCCTGCCCTGGGGCATTCTCAGAGCGGGCGTGTCACGGGGGAAGACAGGGGCTCCAGGAAGCCATCAGGGGCTTCCTTTGCCCTGGGACAGCCCCAGGGGGACATCCAGGCCCCCTTAAGGCAGTGTGCCCTTCCCCCCCAGATGGTGCCGGTCTTGGCCTGGGGGGTGACCAGGGAGCAGCAGACACTTGGCAGAGACAGCCCCACTGCAGGTTGGGACGAACAGATGGCGCCAAAGAGATACATGACGTGGGGGCCGGGAACAGACATGAGACCAGGCCTCACTTGTGTGGGGAGCAGAGAGCACCCGGGCCGAGGGGGTAGCTGGGCGGTGAGGCTGACAGTGGGACAGGAGCTTGGCTGCCACCGAGGGCGTGTGGGAGTCTGGTCAGAGCCCCAGGCCCCGTCTGGCGGCTGTGGGGGCCGAGGGGGTTGGCAGCCGGGTGACTGGTCCTCCGCAGAGGCGTTGGAGGTAGAGCGACGTATTGAGAGGCGCGCTAGGACGCCACTCATCTTCCTGGCCTTCTGTAGGCAGAGGCCCCGCGGGAGTGGCGGGGGGCGGGGACGAGATCTGGAGCTCACACGGGAAGGGCTCTGGGGCCTGGAATCGGGCCCCTGGGGCATGACCCTTGCCCGTGCCTGTGGTCACAGAGGCCTCCTGAAGCTCAGGTGTGGGGCGAGGCCAAGCAGCTCAGCCTGGGCGATGTCTGATCTCTGAGCAAGCTCAGAGGGGTCGGGATGGGGTGACACCTTTCTTCCTCCTCTTCCTCTTCCTCCCCCTCCTGTTCTCCCTCCTCCCCCCAGCTCGGCCCTGGGCCGTGCATCTGGGTGCCAACACCCACGAGGCCTGCAGACTGTGACCTTTCCTCACCCTCCCCCTCCACTGTTGCTCTCGCTTCTGTCCCCACTGTGTTCTTCCCGGCTGAGGCCCTGAGACTCCCTCGCCCCACCTCTGCACCTGCTCCCTCAAATACCTCCTGCCCCTCCTCATCCAAGCTCTCCCCCTCCCCTCGGATCCCCCCACCACCCCAAGACCCCCCTGGAAGCCTGGGGCTCGAAGTCTGCCCCTCTGAGCTGGGCCAAATGGCAGTCGAGCCGAGCCGGGAGGGCAGGGCAGGTCCTGCCCAGGCGTGTGAGTGGAGCTGCGGGCTCTCACCAGATGAGCCACGTGGGCCGCCTTTCCTGTGGCAGGCGTCCCCTCGGGACAGGTGCCCCTGACCGGGGAGGAATTGTGCTCCACTGCAGCTCGTACAGCTGGCTGTGCGGACACATCTTCCAGGGTCCCCTCTGTCCGCGCGGTCCGGGCCACCTCTGCGCATTGGCCACCTCGGGGAATTCCGTGGACCCCTGGGTGACGTGGGTCCTGGATGGCCTGTCCTGCCACTCGCTGGGTGCACAGCGGGGCAGCACAGGATGGGAAGGGCTCGGGGCACCTGTGGGTGGCTGACAGGCTTGCCAGGCCGCGCCGTGTGGGCTGGGGGTGGCGCTCCGTCGGCTCACACTGTGCACTCCCGACCGCCACCTTCCCGGAAGGGTCCCAGAAGGAATGGAGAGCTGTGTTCCGCCACAGGAGCCGTCTGTGGGGCCCCGAGGTCAGGGGTCACTGGGAAAGGGGCGGGAGGCAGAGGGGTGCCAGGCGTCAGTGCCAGTGTGAGGTCACAGCTCAGCGTGGCCGGGTCCCCAGTTCCTCCTCCTCCTTGAAGCAGGCTGAAACCTCCCTCCTCAGCTCTGACAGCGGGTATGGCCCCGCGGGCTCTGCCCTGTGCCAGCCCCGCTCCGCACTTCCTCTCTGCCCGCCTGCGCACGCCCTCCTCCTCCTGTGTCCTCTGCAGCCCACAGCCCCCCCCCACCCCAGCCCTCCCCGCCCGTCCCGCCTGCCCGCTGCCCCGGCTGCCTGGCGCCTCGCTCTGCTTTGCGGTGTTGTGTCGTGAGCCCGGCCGTGCCGCCGCCAGCGCCACTCCCCGCGCACGCTGCCGAGGGCCTCACTTCCGGCCTCTGCCCCCGCAGGGCCTTCGTGTACCTGAGCAACCTGCTGTACCCCGTGCCCCTGGTGCACCGTGTGGCCGTCGTCAGCGAGAAGGGAGAGGTGAAGGGCTTCCTCCGTGTGGCCGTCCAGGCCACTTCAGGTGCGTGGGGGGCGGCCTGGGCAGAGGGCCCTGTGGGTACCATGCAGTGGCCAGCGTGCCACCGGCCTCGCCTGTTTCTCGGGCCCCCGGGCGGCATGCAGGCCGCCGGCCCCCAGCAGGGCGCTCCAGGAGAAGCCCCTGCCTTCCGGACTCTGCTGGGTCAGGTCGGGCAGGGCCCTGGGAGACTGTGCAGGCCCAGCCCAGCGCTGTCTGGACCCACTCTGGCTTGGGGGTGGCGGGGGGGCCTCCTCCCTCCCATCACTCAGCCCCAGGTGGACCCAGAGACTGCCCGGCTCCAGACCCCAGCCGGGTGCAGAGCGGTAGCCCCCTGCGGTCTCTGAGCCCAGCACAGGCGCGCAGACCACAGCCCGGGCCCCGTGGCCCCTGCAGCTGGCTTTTCTCCCAGAGCCTGTGCACCCTCCCTCCACTGTGGGCCTGCCGAGCGGACGGCCCCTTGTGGCTGAGCCCTCCCCCTGGCCAGGGTCCCGGGATGGGCGAGCCACAGAAGGCCTTTGAGCCTGGGTTTGCTTCCCTGTAAATGGCATCCCATTTGAAGCTCCCTGCCCAAGAGGAGTGTTGAAAGATGATTCCAGAACACAGATATCCACGTGCTTAGCCACCAGAAAGCTGCAGGCCAGAGAGGGCTTGGTGTTCGGGCTCTGACAGAGGCTGTTCCTCCCTTCTCTGCTCTCGGGCCCCCAGCCCCTCCCCCATGGCCTCCCCACCCCCTCCCCCCCACGGCCTCGGCAGCCTGGGCACCTGCAGAAAACATGCAGAAGCGCAGAGCTACTCCCAGACAAGGCAGGGCTGGGCTGCTCCTGAACGCAGGCACCCCCCAAGGGGTTGGTCACCCCACCCCACTTGAAGCCACGTCAGCTGGTTTTGGTTGCACCTCTAGGATTCTTTTGCCAGATTCTCACCAGCCCGTAATTTCCAGATGCTCCTTACAGCACTTCCAGTTATGTCACCGTGGTGTCCAGATCCCCCGGGGACCCTGGACGGGGGAGGGACAGAGGATGGGGATTCTAGGAACGTCTAGTGGCACAGCCATTCCTCAAGGGGGCCCTGTTCCCGTCATCTGGGTGGGACTCTGGCCCCTGGGCTCTTGGCCCTTTGTGACCAGCCTGAGCCCTGAAGGAGCCAGTCCCACTGGGTGGCCTGCTTTATAGGTGGACACTGTGTGCTGGGGCCACACCTGACATTCCCTGTCTAGTGGCTACGATGGAGAAGGAGGGGCTTGAAAAAGCTCCAGTGGTCACAGAAGTCACACCCGTCCTGCAAGTGTCAGCTCACAGGGCCCCTCAGCACCAAGTGGAGGGGCCATCCAGGTCCCCCGCCAGGGTAGAGAGCATGGCAGGGTTTGTGCCCCGCCCCCAGGGGGGCCCAGAAGAGGAGCCAGAGCCCCTGGAGGGTCTGGGAGGCCCCCCAGGGGGTTGTCTAGCCAGCGTGGCTGGAGTTGGGGCTGAGGCTGCTGACAGAAGCCGGGTCTGGGGGTGTCCGTTGGGAAAGTACAGGACACCGTGAAGGATGGGGAGTGGGGGCGTGTGGGGAGCCGAGCAGGGGCTGCCTGGGGTCCGGGTGGATGACGGTGGAGTGGAAACCGGGGGGGCTTCATGGGGGGGGCCACCCAGCATGGCTCTGCTGGAGCAGCCGAGTCTGGAGGAGGGCGGGGGTGGCCGGGACTCAGGGCAGGGCTCACAGGTTGGTTTTGGACCATGCAGTTGTGGTCCCGTCAGAGCTGGCTGTGCTGTGCTGAGGGCGTGACCCCGCCGGGGCAGCCGAGGCGGGTGACTAGTGTGCCTGGGGTGTGCCCTCCTTGTTCTGGAGCTGGGGTGGTCGGCACCAGGGACCCCCCCTGTGTGGGTCGGGGTCTGTTCTGGCTCCCGTGTCTTCCCCCCGGTAGCTCGGCCTGGCTCTGCCACCACTGGGCCCTGACTGCCTGCCCTGTTCCCTCCCCATTTCAGCTGATGAAGAGGCCCCCGATTACGGCTCTGGCGTCCGACAGTCAGGAACCGCCAAAATCTCCTTTGACGACCAGCATTTCGAAAAGGTGCCGTGCAGGGGTTAGCCCAGCAGCCCAGCACCAACACCAGGGGCCGCTGTGCAGGGGGTGGGCGGTGCACCCTGAGTGCTGACTCTGGCCCCCCACCCATTCAGTTCCAGTCCGAGTCCTGCTCTGTGGTGGGGATGTCCCGCTCCGGGACCTCGCAGGAGGAGCTGCGCATCGTGGAAGGTCAGGGCCAGGGTGCCGAGGCAGGGCCCTCTGCCGACGAGGTCAACAACAACACCTGCTCAGGTAGGTGCCCCTCCTGCCCGGGGCCTGGGGTGCTGGGACGCGGCCCCCACCCACTGTGATCTGGGAGGCTGTGAGACCTTTCCACCAGAGGACACCGCGCGGGCTCCCCCCCCGACCCCGGACTCCAGGCCTCTGGGGTCCCGCCACATTCCTCCTGTCCTCGGTCCCCAACAGCCGTGCCTCCGGAAGGCCTCCTCCTGGATAGCCCTGAGAAAGCCGCCCTGGACGGGCCCCTGGACACCGCCCTGGACCACCTGCGCTTGGGCAGCACCTTCACCTTCCGTGTGACCGTCCTGCAGGCGTCCAGCATCTCCGCCGAATATGCCGACATCTTCTGCCAGTTCAAGTGAGTCTCGGCGCCCCCTGCCGGCCATGGGACAGAAGGCGGGCGCTGAGCACCCCTGGTGACCCCTGCCAGTGGTCCGTGGGTCCCTGTCCCCTGCCAGTCTGCGGGTCCCTAACCAAAGTCTCCTGTGCCCAGCCTAGCGTCTCCTCTTCCTTCGCAGTTTCATCCATCGCCACGACGAGGCCTTCTCCACGGAGCCCCTCAAGAACACGGGGAGGGGCCCCCCGCTCGGCTTCTACCACGTCCAGAATGTACGTCCTGAGAGCCCCCACATCCACTGCCCTCCCGGGGCTCTGGCTTTGCGAGGCCTCCCCAGAGCTGAGCCGACCTGTCCCTGTTGTGAGCCCCCGTCGTGAGCTGGCAGTGCCCGTGTGAGGGCGTGGCCTTGGGTGCCAGGCAGGGGCTGTAGGCTGCTCAGTGGGGACCTTGGTGGGCTTCTGCCTGGGGGTGGGGCAACCTCGGGGCAGATAGGAACATGAGTCTGGGGTGCCCCACATGGCACTGGCCAGGTGTCGGGCAAGAAGAGAGAGAGGCGGGGCGCACAGAGGGCATTGGAGAGGCCCGGGAAGCTGCGGGGGGCTCGTCCCCGCCGGGTGTGGGAGGAGCAGGACTTTGCCGTGGAGTGGCTCCGCGAGGCAGGAGAATGGGGCTGGCCAGCCCGCTGCGGGGCAGAGACGTGCTCCACTCGGCCATAAGGATGCCGCCCGCTGGCCAGGCCTTGAGGGCCCACCGAGGAGCGTGGATTTGACCCTGAGCGGTGAGGCCTGCGTGTGTTGTGTGGCCCCAGCAGTCACAGGCCCCACACGCAGAAGGGCCCCCAGACCAGCCCGTGCTGACACTCAGGCGGCAGGGGGCTCGTGGTTTCTGGTGGCAGAGAGAGAAGACGCTCTGTTCTCCCTGTGTCCCCACACGGTCCCCCCTCTGTGCCTGTCTTTGTGTCCTTGTCTCTCCTTTTCACAAGGACAGTCACGTTGGATTGGGGCCACCCTAATGCCCGCATTCTATCTTCGGATTCTTTCTCCGAAGAGCCTACGTCCAGACATAGGTCTTGGGCATTCAAGCTACAACATAGGAATTGGGGGAGGGGGCACAGTTCAGCCCATAACTCGCAGTGACAGGGCGAGGGCCCAGGAAGAGTCAGGCCAGGCCACAGACCTCTGTCCCCTTGCCAGCCCTGCTCTGGAAGGGCACTCTCGGGGGTCTGGCCTTCGGGTGTGTGACAGGAGGGGAGGCGGGGCTGGAAGGACCAGGTGAGGAGCGTCACTCTGTCGTGGGCAGAGGTCGGGCCCAGCGGGGTCTCTGGTCTGGTTCTCCACGGAGGCCGAGCACTTACCTCTGCAACCCTCCCCCCACCCCCGACTGTGGCGTGGCCGCGGCGTCCTGCCTGCCCTCCTCACCCGCCAGATTGCAGTGGAGGTGACCAAGTCCTTCATCGAGTACATCAAGAGTCAGCCCATCGTGTTTGAGGTCTTCGGCCATTACCAGCAGCATCCGTTCCCACCCCTGTGCAAGGACGTGCTCAGGTCAGCAGCCCCCGTCCTGGGGGCGGGGGCCCCTCCCCAGACCTGATCCAGCCTGTGCTGCCCCCCAGGGCACGGGCCCGCTCCACCTCCCGCCAGCGAAGCCCACCTTGCCCCAGACGGGCCTGGTCGGGCGGCTGCAGAGCCCAAGTGAGTCTAGGTACCCACTTTCCCCGATGACAGGGCGGCTGGGTGCCCAAGGTCAGCAGGACCCAGAGCAAGTCGGAGGCGTCCCTTTGGGACGCCAGCAAGTTTCTTAAAGAGTGTGCTGTCTGGGCCTGACCCCTGGGGGCATGGGAAGTGGGCGCCGGGCAGGAGGACAGCCAGGGCGGCCCATGGGAGAGACGGCTCCCGCTGCCTGCTCACCGCCCCGCCGCCTGGCTGTCCTCGTCTCCTGGGGTCCTCAGCCCCCAGACTGAGCCAGGGAACATCTTCCCGTCTCCCTCATTCCACCTGACCTCCCGGGGGGCTCTGAGGGTGGGCCAGGGTGTCCCTGCTGTGGTCCCCACCTCCCACCTGGGTGCACGTGGCTTCTGGGGTCATGAGAGCCTCTTGCCACCTGCGCCCCCCTCAGCTGTCCTGTGGGACCCGGCACTGAGCGGGGCGTCCGGGTGGGGGAGGAAGAGAAGGGCCACGGGAGGTGCTGGCTCCAGGGCGTTTGGCCCCCTGAGCCTCGTCTGTCCTTGGGAGTGCAGGGGAGGGTCTGTCCCAGAAGCCCCCGGACCGAGAACCAGAGCTCTCGCCCCGTTGTCACAGACCCGTGGGGCCGCCCACGCAGGGTCTGGGGTCCCCAGGGGCCCTCCTCCCCCATCCCAGCTGCGGGAGGCCCTGGGAGCAGACGGTGCCTGAGCGCCTTCTGCCAGCCCCCTGCCCTTGGCTGCCTCCCCAGCTTGAGGGTCCCAGAGACCCCGCCTCAGCCACCTCACAGCGGCCCCTCTTTCTCCACAGCCCCCTGAGGCCCTCCCGCCGCCACTTCCCGAGGGTCATGCCGCTGTCCAAGCCAGGTAGCCGGGGCCCTCCCGCGTGCAGCCCTGGGGGAGGGGGGCGCCCGCGCTGCCGTCCGCACTGCCCTGAGTGCGCCCCTGAGTCACGTCCCCCCCCAGTGCCCGCCACCAAGCTCAGCGCGCTCTCGCGGCCCTGCGCGGGGCCCTGCCATTGCAAGTACGACGTGCTGGTCTACTTCGAGATCTGCGAGCTGGAGGCCAACGGCGAGTGAGTCCCCGCGCCCGCGGTGGGGGGGGCTGGACCGGGGTCGGGGTGGCGCGCGGTGGCGCTCCGGGCTCCGGGGACCAGACCGCCTTACCTGCGCCAGAAGGGGGGGCTGCTTTTCCTGTCGTGGCCCTTTAGCTGCCGGGGTGGCACGTGGCCGCGTGGCCGGGTCTCGCCTCACACGTGTGTCTGTTCCAGTTACATCCCCGCAGTGGTGGACCACCGTGGCGGGATGCCGTGCGTGGGGACCTTCCTGCTCCACCAGGTGCCCTGGCTGCCTTGTGCCCCCGACCCCCGCGTGGCGCCCAGGCCACCTGACCGTGGCCTCTCTCCTGGGCGCCCTGCCTGCCTTGTGCCCCCCGCCCCCCACGTGGCCCCCAGGCCACCTGACCGTGGCCTCTCTCCTGGGCGCCCTGCCTGCCTTGTGCCCCCGCCCCCCGCGTGGCCCCCAGGCCACCTGACCGTGGCCTCTCTCCTGGGCGCCCTGCCTGCCTTGTGCCCCCGCCCCCCACGTGGCCCCCAGGCCACCTGACCGTGGCCTCTCTCCTGGGCGCCCTGCCTGCCTTGTGCCCCCCGCCCCCCCGCGTGGCCCCCAGACCACCTGACCGTGGCCTCTCTCCTGGGCCTTGCAGGGTATCCAGAGACGGATAGCCGTGACGCTCCTGCACGAGACGGGCAGCCACATCCGCTGGAAGGAAGTGCGGGAGCTCGTCGTGGGTGAGTGGGACGGGCGAGGGCTGCCCTTGGGGCTTCGGCTGGGCCAGAGCAGAGGGGCGCAGCCCCCCCGCCCCCCGCCGTCCTGGACAGACGCCTGACTTCTAACCACAGCCCCTGTTGCTGTGAGACTCTGGCCGAGTCGCTTAGCCCTTCTGTGCCCCAGCCCCTTACCTGAAAAGGAAAGCGGAGGCCGGGGTGATGACTCCAGGTCGCTGTGCGGTCGCTGGGTTAGCGCGCTGGGGCTCCTGTAACGCGGCACCATGCTGGCCGCTTACACAGCAGAAGTCGGTCCTTGGGCAGGCCTGGGGGGAGGGGGGCGTGAGTCTGAGGGCGTCCGCAGGTGGTCAGGCTCCCTCTGAAGCCCGCAGGGGAGCCCTTCCTGGAGGTCTGTGGGGACTGTCTGTCGCTCTGCGGCTTGGGGACCCACGGGCTTCTGTGCGTCATCTTCATGTGGCCTCTTCCTATAGAAGAACCTAGATTCAGGCCCCCTCACTCCAGTGCGACCTCACCTCAGCTGATTTCACCTGCCGAGACCCCATCTCCAAAGAAAGTCGCGTGCTGAGGCCCTGGGGGTTAGGACCTCAACCCACCCATTTTGAGGGTGGACACAGCTCACCTCCTGGCGGTCACCTCGGATCTCAGACGGTTTTCTTCCACGGCTCTATGCCGTGCACTCTCGGGTCCGCTAGACACGTTGCTTTGCCAGCCTGCAGGCTTTGTCCTCCTGATGTTCATTCAGGGACGTCTCCTGTCCGCCCCTGCCCTGCCTGGAGCCCATGGATCCATCTGGAAGCCCCATGGTGGGCATTTCTGTGGCCACAAGGGCAGCAGCTGGAGGGTGGTGTCCCTGGGGCTTGGACGGGGTTCTGAGGGTACAGGAATGGGGGCGTGACCATGAGACCCGCCGTGCCGTGTCCCCCGCGGCGGAGAGGTTCTGCGGGCCCGGAGCAGGTGCTTTCAGCTCAGGCACCTCGAATCAGGCATCTCACATGGGGCGAACGGCCGGAGCAGACGAGCACGTCCTCATCTCAGATGCTGTTTAGGGCAAGTGCGGACAGCAAACCGGCTTAAGGAGGAGTAAGCAGGCGCCCAGAGGGCACGTGGACCAGATGCCAGCAGGAGGGTTCCCTGTGTGGAGGCAGCGAGGGGAGCTACTGAACGGGTTTGGGGAGATGCCGGTGTGAACGCCAAGGCGCCGCTCCACATTGGGGCGTTCGGGCTCTGCCTCTCTGGGTTTCATGAACCAAGTGGACCCGCGAGCGGACGTTTCTAGCTGACGGGCTTCTGGGAGGCGCTCACGGGCCACGCTCCGGCCACGCTCTGAAGGGGCAGAGACCTTCTGTGGAAGCACACACTACAGGGGCCGAGCAGGGGTGAGGCTGGCATTGTGGCACGCTTTCTTCCGGCAGCCGAGCCGTGGGGCGCTCCACCTCCAGCCACGGGGACGCCCCCCGGAGAGCACTTCTCGGGGAGCACACGCCTGCCTTCTCCCAGAACCCAAAAGTCACAGGAAGGTTCCAGGAAGCGGGGCAGGCCGCCGCGGTGTGTACAGACACAGGAAGCGGGGCCTGGCCGCGTCCCGGGCTCTGCCTCACCTCTGTGTGGGGAGGCGGGGAGGCCAGTGCTTCCTTGAGGGCTGACGGAGAGAACGTAGTGCGACTCTGTCCCCTCAAGAAGTGGAATGTTCAACCTAACGCCACCAGGCCGGGAAATTACTAACGGGCCGCGAGCCGGATTCCTGTCTCGGCGCAGACAGGACCCCCACCCAGCGTGGGCACCTGAGAGGCTCCTGCTGGAGATGTGCCCCGCAGGGGGAGACTAGGGGCACGACAGGGTCCGTCCTCCCTCCCTCCCTCCCTTCTCCTCCCTTTCCCACTCCCCCTCTTTTTTTTCTTAAAGGGGAAATTCTCCTTATCTTGGTAAGGTCTCCCTTCCAGCGGGGGCCTGTGCACCCTAGGCCGGCTGCTGGAACCTATCAGTTGGGTGCAAAAGAGACACACGTTGGGAGTATCTCAGCTGAGAAACTCTGATTGCGGAAGGAACGGCGGTGGAGGGTCCGCAGGACGCCCACGCCCGGGCCGGTAGCAGACCCCGCCATGGCCTGCCCGTCCGGCGCTCTTGTGGGCCCGGGGGAACCCGCTCCCGTCGTGCTGGGAGGTGACTGTGCCCATGGCCTTTCCCATAGGTCGGATCCGAAACACACCAGAAACTGATGAGTCCCTGATTGACCCCAACATCTTGTCTCTCAACATCCTCTCCTCTGGCTACATCCACCCGGCCCAGGATGACCGGTGAGTCCCCTCGGGGCGGGGTTCTGTTCCCAGCAACCTGGAGACAGGGTCCAGATCAAGACCCAGGGTGTGCCCTCAGCCGACCTGGCTTTGTAGGGTCCGGGACGTGCCAGCCCTTTCTGAGCCCTCAAGAGCGGGTGCAGGACAGGCAGGCTCATGGCCTCCACGTCCCCCGTTGTGTTTGTCTACACGTTGTCCCGTCACTGCTCTCGCATTCGTCCAGCCTGTCCATTCGGTCACCTGGCGGAGGGGCAGCGGGAGTCGAGGGTGGGTGAGCTGGCTTCTGTCCTCAGGAGTTTTGGGGGTGCAACACAGGTGCTCAGACAGGCAGGCCCGAATCTCCCCAACCACACTGCTGTGGGTGGGCCTGGGCCTCCGGCAGGGGTCCCGCAGGCTGGGGGTCCTGGAGGCGGTTCCGGGGCGCACTGGGTCAGCAGGCCAGCCTCCAGGGTGGAGGTGCGTCCACCAGGCCCCGTCTGGCACGTGCTCCCTGTCGCTGGGCTGTTCCTTTCCAAGCTTGTGGTTAGTGGCCGAGACTCAGCAGCCGGGGCAGTCGCAGCTCCACCGCACCTGGGACAGCGGACGGGGTGGGCAAGCCCCCAGGGCCCCTCAGCAGCCCCTGACAAATCGGCCTTGTGGGGCGAGCGGGCGGGGGGACTGATGGGGGTGTGGGGGGACAGCTCTAACTGCCGAGAGCCGCCCTGCGGGCGGGATGGGGGCTTGGCTGTGTCTGAGATGCTGCTCTCTAGGGGCTTGGGGGAGGGGTGTGGGTGTTCAGAGTGCCGGCCAGCAGCTTCGGGGGCTAGGCCCGGCCCAGAGGCAGAAGCTGAGAACTGACCCTCGGAGTTCATGCTCCGGGGGTCTTTCTGGGTTCCCGTGGCAGCGTTTGCAGGAAAAGACTTCTTGGAGGGCTGGGTGTGCTCGGGGGGGCCAGGGGACCCCACACTTGCAAGGAAAGCTTGGGATCCATAGGGGTAAAGGGACCCGGGGGAGTCACATCCTGTCCTGACTCCTGGGTCCAGACGGAGCCTGGGTTCGTCACAAACACCCTGGGGAGTGGGCTGTAAGGGAAGCACCACTCAATGCGGACAGTTGGGGGGCCTGGAGCCTGAGACCCCCAGGGGCACCTGTGACTCATTCTAGCCCAGCCCAGGAACCTCCCACAAGAAACTCCCTACACCCATGTCCAGGGGGATGGAGCTGGGGTGGAGAGTGCCGAGGGGGTTCTCACGATGTGCAGGCTGGGGCCCCGTGGGGTGGGCCGGCTCAGGGGCCCCTCTGATGCCATGAGAATGCATCAGAGGAGGCCTGGCCCCCAGCCCCATGGGGGCTGCCTCCAGGGATGTGGAGACCGGGTCCCCAGAGGGGAGGTTGGGCCTGGAGGGCCTGTGCCATTGACCCTCCACTGGGGAGGAGTCTGTCTGCCATGCCGAGTGACCTCAGCATCCCCCGGGCCTCTGACCCTTCCTTTGTCCAGGCAACTTCTAGATTTTGGGAGCAGAAAGGGAGTGGGGGGCAAAAACAAGTGGGTGAGGTGGGTATCCCCCCCCCCAAAGTGCGGTCTCCCTGCACTGAGGATCGTGTTTCCGGCTCCTCCCGTTGTCCCGCCAGCCTGGCTGCGGGGCCCCTGGCTCTGGGCTACGTCCCGAGGCAGCTTAGGAGGCTGTGGCCCCCGGCAGGACCTGGGGTCAGCAGGGCTGTGGCTACACAGGTCCACGCCCGCTCCTAGAGGCCCAAGGACCCATCACTGACGGGGGCTTTGGTTCTGCTTCCTGGGGGCTGTGGCAGTGAGGCCGGCCTGAGGGCAGCTCTGCGTCCACGGCCCGTGTCCAGGGTAGAGGAAGGCCCGTCCACAGTGTGGGACCGTAGACCTTGCCCAGAGCTGCTCTGGCCTCAGCCTTGGCTCCTGCCCACGCTGGTGCAGCCCCGGGACCTCTCCGACCCCCGGCCTTGCCCCCAGCAAAGTCTGGGGGACCCTCTTCCCCTGGTGGCCCCAGGCAGGTGCCATCCTGAGGCCTGGCTGGCCAAGCCAGCAGGCCCCTCCTCGAGGATCTTCCTCTTCCCCGGCCCTGGCTGATGTCCTCGGAGCCTGGGAGGGGCCGCCTGGGCGCGCCCTGCTTCCCCGGGAGACGCTGAGGCTCAGAGGCCCCGAGCCTGGCTTGGGCCCAGGGGCTCCGGCCGTCCACGCGCTTTGCCACGACCTCGGCCTCCTCCCGCTTTGCTCAGAGCGGGCCTGCTGCCGCGGACAGCTGCTCCCCCGCTGCCCTTGCCCTCGCTGCCGCTGCCCCGCTGCCCTTGCCCTCGCTGCCCCGCCACCCTCACTAACCTGTGATTGTTTGTGTTTTGCAGGCAGTTTCTTGATTCGGACATGCCTAGGTATCATTTGTGCCCCTTGGTTTTATTTCAGCCTCTCTCCTTCCCCAGACCCACGGCCCCGACTTTTAATTTCAGCTTTTTGGATTCCTTCTACACTCGCTCTGCTTTCCCTCCTGTTTCTCCATTTTCTTTCGTTTTATTTCCTCGGAACACTTTTTTGATTTTCTTTGTTGCTTCCTCTCCCCACCCCCACCCTCCCTCTTGGCTGAGCCCCTTCTCCCCACCCTCTTGATTTTGGCTGCTTTGGTAGTTTCCTGCCCCTCCGTAGACACTGGCTGGCCTCCTGCCCCCCCCCCCGCCCCTGAGCCTTGCCCGCCCCGTGCTACCCACCCCTGCCGGAGCAGGAGCAGGTGCCCCCCCCCCGCCCCCGCATGCAGGCTGGCCGCACCAGCCCCACTCCCTGCAAGGTGAAAGAGAAAAGAGGGAGGGGGGCGGCGCTGGGCCTGGGACGTGCGGGCGGACAGGACCTCCGCACGGCACCCCCCTCCCGGGGGCGGAAGCCCCTTGCCCGGCCAGGCTGGCCACCCCACACCCTGTTTGCAAGGAGGTGGGCGGGGAAGTCGTGAAGGGCCCAGGAGGTCTCTGGACTCACTCGGGCGGCCCGGGACCCAAACCCCCAGGAGCCAGGTGTTCCTGGGCAGGGGACGCCCTCTCCGACTTGAGCGCCCACTGGGTGCAAGGGTCACTGAGGCCCTGGGCACGGACAGCGTCAGAGTCCGTAATCAGGACCGTCTGTCGTGAGACTCAAGTCTGTTCTGAGCAGAGGGTCAAGGTCGCGTCCTTCTGGGTCCCGTGGACTGTGGCTCCGTGGCGGCGGTCCTGCAGGACAGCTCTTGTGGAAGATGATGTGAGCGGTTGGAAGGCTTCCAGCAAGTGTCTGAGCCTTTAAGCTGCTTGGAGCGGGGTAGGGCTGGTGCCGGCTCCTTTTCTGGAAGGAGCCCCAGGGTAGCGCGGGGGGCACGGCAGGACTGTCTGAGTCATGGCTGTGACGGTCACTTGTAGCCTAGGCCCCCCGGAGGGTGGCAGGCCGTGGTCCTGCTGGTGTGACCCTCAGGCGCAATACATATGTTTGATGAGTGCGTCTCTCCCAAAGGCTGCTGCGGGCCCTCGGGGGACCCTGCCGGGGGAAGCTAGGGTGGGGTGGCTGCCCCGGAGCAGGGACCCGTGTCCCCGGGCCGTGTGCCGTGTGCCGGGGGAGGCCGCGCGGGGAGCTGGGCTGGCTGGCGCCGTGTCCCTGCTCTCGGAAGGCTCTGGGCTGGGAGCGCCTGGCTCGGCTGCGTGCCCCGGGCGGGCCCCGAGTGACGGGCTGTTTCCTTGAGTGGAGACCTCCAGGTGGCGTCAGGGCTCGAGGGGGTGTGGCTGTGTCTTCACGTTTGCATTTCCACAGCCAGCTCAGCAGGATAGAGGGATGCTTGCTGGTCCTCAGCCCACCGCCCCAAACGCAGGCCTCCTGGAAGGTTCTGGGTAAAGCAGACAATACCCGGTGGCCAGGGGGAGGCGTGGCACCAGGAAAGAACAGGACCCAGTTTTCCTTTCCAGCAGGGCTTTCTTCGCTAGCCCCCCACTTCATGAGGCCCTCACCCCTGCACCTGAGCAGGGGTCAGGCCCACCCCCCCAGTTCCAGATGAGAGCTCATAGGGCCTGTGGGCTTGGCCTGTGAGAGGAGGCTCGGGGCCCTGGGAGGGAAGTAGGGGTCAGAGCCCCAAGACTCGGGCAGCGCCCAGCTCCGCGGGGCAGGGAGCCACCGTGATGGCGGGACTGGGGACTGGCGGACGGGGGGAGGTGGCGGAGGGAGGGGCTTGTCCCAGATGGAGGCGTAGGGCAGGGCCCGGGGCGGCCTGGCGGTGCCCTCGGCTGGCCACGGGAGTGTGGACAGGTGGCAGAGCCTTCCGGAACCTTGTTCTCCTTCCCCCTTAGAAAGGGGGTAATTCAGCCCCTGCCTGAAGTTGCTGTGATGCACACACGCGCTGAGACAGGAAGCTGTCAGCTTTGCACACGGCTTTGTAGTGTGTCCCCTGCTTGTGTCCCTCACCTGCCACCTCTCGTCCCCTCGGCCCTCGTCCCCTCACCTCCCACCCCCTCACCTCCTCACCCCTCATCCCTCGTCCCCTCACCTCCCACCCCCTCACCTCCTCACCCCTCATCCCTCATCCCCTCACCTCCCACCCCCTCACCTCACCCCTCACCCCTCGTCCCCTCACCTCCCACCCCCTCACCCCTCATCCCCTCAGCCCTCGTCCCCTCACCTCCTCACCCCTCATGTCCTTGTCCCCTCACTTCCTCACCCCTCATCTCATCCACTCACCTCTTCATCCCCTCACCCCTCGTCCCCTCACCTCCTCACCCCTCACCCCTCATCCCCTCACCTCTTCAGCCCTCATCCCCTCACTTCCTCACCCCTCACCCTCTTAGCCCCTCATCTCGTCACCCCATCACCCCCTCCTTGCTCATCTCCTCACCCCCTATCTTATCCTTTTATCCCTTCACCCCCTCACCCCCTCACCCCTAACCTTTTCACTCTCTCACTCCTTTACCCCATAGTCCCTACCACTCATCCCTTCAGCTCATCATCCCTCACCCCCTCACCCCCTCACCTCCTCACTTCCTCGTCCCCTCAGTCCCTTAATCCTCTGGTTTCTCCATTTCCTTCTGGTCCAAGGACTCTCGCACTGCACGGCGCGTGAGGCCGCTGAGCCTTGCGTGTGTCGAATCGGGCACAGCAGAATCCCCACGGCCGGGGTTCAAGCCCGCTCCCCTGCTCTTAGCTGTGCGGTCTTGCTGGGGTCCCGCTTCTCACTGGACCTGAGGGCGGTCCCGGCTGCCGTCCACGGGGCTCCGTCCTGGAAGTCTTCCCCGGGGCCACTCTTGAGAGTAGTACCTCTTCTAGAAACGTACTTCCCAGAGCGTTATGAGTTTCTTGGTGAAACCTTGAGCATGGGGGTTAATTTTCAGATTCTCCACATTTGCATCAGGATGCCCACCCTGCCTGCACATTAACCTACCATGGCTGTGACACTCGTCACAAGCGCCGGGTACAAGTCACAACACAGTTGTCTACACGCGTAAATGGCCCCCGTGCAGGCGGCACACGAGAGGCACGTCGGGAGTACTCAGGCGCTGTGTGCCGGGAGCCCCGGCTTCTGATCACCCCACCCTGGCCGTCCGGCCCCCCCCTGAGCCCGTGAGCTTAGGCAGGGCGGACACGGGGCCCCCGTGTCACAGCCCGAGGGGAAGTGAGCCACCACCACTGTCCTGGCCGGTGCAGCCTCCAAGGCTTTCTGAGCAAGAGTCGACACGGAGACAACATTTTAGAGCATATGACATTTTCTCTGTCAACAGAACTTGTAAGTGAGTTTCTGGTTTTCCCCACGTGGGTCCTCACTTGTTTGGGCGTCAAGTTCTGTGTCCCGGCACTGAATTGGGGTGGTCCCACTTCTGGGCCCCTGCTGCCCGACTCTGGTGGTTAGCGGAGAGCCTCAGCGACCTCCTGGCCTGGGACCCCTCCCCACCTGTCTCAAGCTACTCTGAGCGGGGACAAGGCTGGAGGCTCCTGGACACGGACCAGGGATGTGTCAGGAGGCGGCGCCACAATTCTGAGCCCCGCAGTCAGCCTTCCAGGTCCTTCCAGAGGGAGGGCGCTGTGGGAAGCCCTAGGGCTCTGCCGTGGGTGAAGCCCTGCCCGCTGCTCTCTCTTCACAAGGGCGTCCCTGAGAAGGGTGAGGGACTGGAGCCGTGGGTGAGACCTCATTGGAGGAGGGACGCAGGGTCTGGCCTATTTCCCAAAACGGGCCAGACCTGGAGGGCCCGCGGGACGGTGGGATGGGCCAAGACCCCAGGGAGGTGCTGGAGTGAGTTCCGGTGCTCGGCTCACGAGGTGGCCGCATCCTGGCACTTCTGCCTCGGTGGGTCAGTGGGTTGAAGTGCAGCCTGAGAACCTGCACCACCAGAGACACTGGTGCTGCCGCTTAGGGTCCAGGGACCCCGCGTCCGAGCTGCATCGTTCCCCCAGAAGTCGCATCTGAGGGACTGGCTGGGTGTCAAGGGGGGCAGAGTGAGAGGTGCTGTGGGGAATGGGGCTCTTTGCCTGGGGTGACCTGAGCAATCCCAAGAGTCCTGAGCCTGCTCATGAGTGGGGGTCCGGTCCGGTGCCCAGGGCCTCCAGGCTCCCTATGGCTCCCTCTCTAGCTCTCTGCATCCCAGTCTCTGCCTCGTGATGAAGGGGGTACCAACCCGTTCCCGTGTTGTGTCCAGCAGGCCTGGTGTCCTACATGGCTGTCTGGGTCCCGCATGGGGGGCGGGGGGTGCCACCTTCCCCACCCCACGCACACCTGCTGTCCTCTGGGTGGGACCTCCCTCTGCACAGGCCTCGGGGGCTCGGGAGTGTTGTGGGGGCTCCGGGGCCTGGCACCCACAGCGGGCTGGGGGCTGACCCCGGCCGTGTTGAGCCCTGGAGAATGGCACAGTGAAAGGCGCCGTCCTAGGCTGAGGACCTGGGCCCAAGAGGACCCCCACCCCCTCACTGCCTACATGAGACCCACAGGTTCGGGTTTTCAGAGAGATTCTCGGTCGCTGGAGTCTCAGCAGGGCAAAAGCCACCTCCTAACTTGACCGAGGGGCTCCCAGCCACAAGCGCCGTCCAGGGGCCTCGGTAAGCCCTGTGCAGAGGTGGTCTCACCTCTCGGTGCAGCCTGGCCAGTCCTGGCACCGTCCACGCGGTCCTGGGCCGGGGCCCCCAGCTGGCCTGACCGAGCTGGCCCTGGCTCCTTTGGCGGGTCCCACCCAAGGGTTGAGGGGCTGCAGATGAGGTGGGGGCCGAGCTCTTGATGCCTGAGTCGGAGCCCGCGCCGGGAGGGGCGCCCAGAAGGGCACGTTGATGTAGGAGAACTCTGCTGATGCTGGATCTTGGGGCCAACGATGGGGCAGGCTGGGGCCACGCGCCCAGAGCACCTGCCGTGGGGGGTGCCAGCTACACTCTGTAGTGACCTTTGAGGCAGGCGGGCAGAGGGGGCAGCACTGAGCCGAGGCTGTGGGCCGAGCTGGAGGGTTTGGGGCCGGCTGGCCTTCCCCCGTGTGTCATCAGGCCGTGTAGGAGGGGAGGACTGGAAATAGCAACGGTGCCCCTGGGCACTGCCCTCAGCACCCTGAGCTGGCTCCCTCACCTGCAGCATCTCTGTGAGGCTGTCCTAGTGCCTGCCAGCGTCCGTCCGGGAAGCAGGAAATAGAGAGGTCTGGTGACGGCCCGAGGTCACGTGGCCATATGGCAGTATTGGGAACGGAGCAGTCCGGAGGGCATTTTGGGCCAGGCTGCGTGGACCGCTGGCTCAGCCCATAGGGCCTGGGTATCTGGGGGCCCCTGGTACAGAGGGGGTCCCTTTAGGTCTTTGTCACAGGTCCATGGGTACCCGCCGGGTCCTGCTGGAGATGGACCCAAAGCTCTCAGTGCAGGCGCGGGGGACGGGGGTCAGAGAGGGCCCCGCCCGCCGCCCCACGAGCCTCCACGGTGGCCGTTGGGCCCACACACACCCGCTCACTGTCAGTTAGCTTGTACCCAGCCGTGTGACAGTGCTCGCTCTGACTTGTCCATCTCTTCTGTGTGTACGTGTGTGTCCTGGCTGCTTCCACCTTTAGCGTTTCGTTCGGAAATGACACTAGGTACAGCTCACTTTTCTCTTCCGCGCTCGCTTGGTCTGTCCCTCTTCCGCTTTTCAACCCCCTTTCTCCTGCGACGTGTCCCCCCGTGCTCTCTGCCAGTTCTCCGGGAACCCCGCTGTCCTCATGGCCCTTCCCCTGGATCTTTGTCCTTGGTGACGTGTGTGTGACAGCGGCCCTGCCCCGTCCCACCGCTTCACCCCGCGCCCCCGGAGCGTGTCGTGGAGAGCCCGTCTGTGCCCCCGGCGTGGCCTCGCTCCTCCGGGCTGCCCTCCACGCTCCCGGGCCGGGCCCGCTCCTCGGGAGAGGCCTGGGCGGGGCCGGGGCGTGAGCCGCTGCCCGCGGTCTGTGTCGACGTGTTTCTCGGCCATGTCTTTGAGGACGCTTGGATGGAAACGGGGCAAGGCTGGGGGCCGAGAGGCCACACGGGGACTGAGGCGAATCCCCCACCTCAGATAGGACCCTCAGACGCTCACCCAGCCTCAGGCAAGAGTTCAGGAGCTCTGCCGTCGGGTGGTTGAAAGCAGGAACTTTCCTTAATCCAAAACCCTGCTGGAAGCAGGGGCCACTGAAGAAGCTAAGGTCCTGCCTCCCAGGGGCGCTCCAGCTGCCCTCGGGGGGTTTCCGGGCCATGGGCTTCTGCTCTGCTCACGGTCTTTCTGGGTTGGAGATGGGGACCGGGGGCAGGGCCCACCGCCTGCTCTGAGATGGGGACAGGGAGCCTGCTCTGTGCTAGACGGAGAGGAGCCCGGCCACGGGGGGCGAGGAGAGGCCGTCTGCCCCAGGCCACCCCGCTTCCACTCCAAGCGTCCTCCCCCAAAGGGAGGAGGTGGGCCACACAGGGCTTTGGCAAACCTGGGCAGGTTGGGACCTCCTTACTCAGACGGGGCGGGAGGGGGCGGCCTCCCTTCTGCCCTCTCCCCGTCTCCCCCCCTCTGCCCGCCCCAGTCTCCCCTCCTCTCCCTCCCTCTTCCCCTTTGTTGTCGCTTGCCTCCTGCCCTCCCTTCCCCGGCCCCTCCGCCCCCACCTCAGCGTCCGCGCTGTGGCTGCCCCGTCCATCCGTCCACAGGAGCCCTCCCCCCCCCCGACCCGGCCCGGCCCCGAGTACGGAGGAGCCTACTGTTCTCCTCGACCCGCCGCCCAGGCTTCCTGACCAGTGGCCCACACATCTCTCTGTGTCTGTCCGTCTGCATGTCCCCAGCCCACAAGACCAGCCTGTTTGCTGCCACATTTGACCTTGTCTCTGCTTCCTTTCAGGACCTTTTACCAGTTTGAGGCCGCGTGGGACAGCTCCATGCATAACTCTCTGCTGCTGAACCGGGTCACCCCGTACCGAGAGAAAATCTACATGACTCTCTCCGCTTACATCGAGGTGAGAGGCCTGCGCCTGGAGCGCACCCCCACGCCACTGCCCCCCAAGCCTGAGCTGCTTGCCAAGGGGCCGTGGGGGCGCTCAGCAGCTTAGAACAGAGGCCTTGTCGAGTCCTTGTTCAATCCACGTACTGCTAACGGCGCTGTTCGCAGCGACCTCCGCCCCCACCATGTTCAGTGTATGGCTTTGCCCTGGGGTCGCCGGATCGCTGCGTCTATGCTCCAGGCAGCCTGAGCCAGAAGCCTACCCAGCCCCAGCCCCAGGCTCTTGGGCTGTGCCTCCCCTTAAAAGTACAGCGGGGGGGCAGGAGCGCGGGCCTTGCCAGCCGGGTGCAGCAGCAATGACTCGGGGCCCCGGGGTGGCAGCCAGCGGCGCAGCGGAGAGAAAGGCCTCGACGTCCCCTCCCAGCCCCATCTCTCCGGCCGTGGGAAGGAGGCCCCTGACGGCCTCTCGGGATGGCGGTTTGCTGGGGGGCCGCTGGCTGGGCCCTGCCGCCCTGAGTCCCGGCACACAGAGGGCCGCCGGCGCCTGTGGTGAGCAGGCGTGCGAGACACGGTGCGTCGGGGCCCCGGGACGTCCTCTGGACCGAAACGTGGGTGGGAAGCCAGGATCCGGTTTGATCCTCACAGATATTTCTGGGAGCATGTTGCCCCATCCCATGGTGAGGTGGTGGGGGCCTGACAGGGCAAGGCCTGTGCCTGCAACCCTCAGGGTCCCCGGCACCGATGCCAGCCCTCTGCGGCCCGGGGAGGCGGGACCCTGGCTCTGCCCCAGCCGTCTCCTGGGCAGGCAGGGACCTCCCACCTGGGTCGGAGGCCTGGCAGAGGCCCCGGAAGGTCAGTGGCCTGTGTGCCCTGGGAGAGGGTTAGAAGGGGATCTGGGGCCGGGGAGCCATGGGGTGCTCTGGCGCCTGAGCCCCAACCCCCAGCCTCGACCCCTGCAGATGGAGAACTGCACCCAGCCCGCCGTCATCACCAAGGACTTCTGCATGGTCTTCCACTCTCGGGACGCCAAGCTGCCCGCTTCGCGATCCATCCGCAACCTGTTTGGCAGCGGGAGCCTGCGGGCCTCGGAGAGGTGGGCCTGCCCGCGCGAGGTGACCCGGCGGCCTGCCGTCCCGCACTCTGGTCCCAGTGAGGACAGACCAGACTCTGCCCGGGGGAGGGGCGGCTGCCGGGTCCAGCAGAGGCTCGAGTGACATGCCAGCTGCAGGCGGGCCCGGACCAGAAGGCAGACCGGCCCCCCTCCCAACCGGTCCCGTGCATGCAGAGTCTCCCACCTGCCCCTGAGGGGGGCCCGTGGAGGCCATGGGACACAGATGGCACATTAAGGGGCGTGAGAGAGCCCGTGCCTGCCCACGGGAGTGCTGGAGAAGGCCTGGGGGGGTTGCCCTGTGGGTTCCATGGGGGGTCCTCGGGCCCCACTTCCCCCCAGGCCCTCAGGGCAGTGCCCCCAGGGCGCTCTGGACAGAGAGGGTCTCCTGCCTCCTGGAGGCCAGCAGGCCCGAGGGAGGAGAATGTCAGGCCCAGCGGTCCCTTCTTGCCCTTTGACCTGTCCCTGCATTCTTGGGGGGTTGGGGTCGGTGAACAGGAATGTCATAGCAGTGAGGAGGGGGCTTTGCTCCAGTAGCAGAGGCCAGCAGGCCGCCTGTGCTCACCTTTAGTGACGCTCCCCACACGGTCCCGTGGACCCCAGTGTGCAGGACGCTCAGACACAGCCGGGAAGCCGAGTCTGGGGCTTAGGACTCAGTGGCCTTCAGCTGTAGCCTGGTCATGCGGGGTCACCTAGCGAGCACGGGCACTGTCTGTGAGCTGGGCCCGCCCCCGTGCAAAGCTTGGTGGCCTGCACTCGCCAAAATCATCGGTCCCTGGCAAGAGGGGGCCCGGCAGGGTCTGGGCCGCGGATGGCCCACGAGCAGCTGCAGCTTGGGGCCCCCAGCAGCCCCGCAGCCCCGCACAGGGCCCCCAGCATGGGCTCACGGCGGGACAGACCCGTGCCGTGCCCGGTGCCCACCCGCCTCTCCTCTGCCCCCCGCAGCAACCGCGTGACAGGCGTGTACGAGCTCAGCCTGTGCCACGTGGCCGACGCCGGCAGCCCAGGTAGGCGCCTGGGGATGGTACTTTGTTAGGAGCCAGGGAGCCCGGGGTCGCTCGGGTCACCTCAGCCAATTGCAGTGGGTGGGGGCTCACTTTCGAGAGTCAAGTGCTCACCTTTGCCCTTGGGGAGGGGCTCTGAGAGGCCAGAGGATGGGGGTGGGGGGTGGGGGAGTCGGGGGGGAGAAGGGGGGAGCGGTAGCCGCTGCTGTGCTGGGTTACCTCCTGTGGCTGAGGCTCTCCCCGGAGGGGACCAGCCTCCCTCTGTGAATGAGTCCCCCCCCATCCCCGGGGGGCCCTAGACCTGGTCCAGGGCACCGATGTGGCCTGCCCGGCACCCCCCTCCAGGGATGCAGCGGCGGCGGCGGCGCGTGCTGGATACGTCTGTGGCCTACGTGCGTGGCGAGGAGAACCTGGCGGGCTGGAGACCGCGGAGCGACAGCCTCATCCTGGACCATCAGTGGGAGCTGGAGAAGCTGAGTCTGCTGCAGGAGGTGGGCAGGGGGAGGCTCCAGTGTCCTTCAGCTCCCCCCCACCCTGGGGCGCAGGGGGGCGGCTCCAGTGTCCCTCAGCTCCCCCCCACCCTAGGGTGCAGGGGGAGGCTCCAGTGTCCCTCAGCTCCCCCCCACCCTGGGACGCAGGGGGGCGGCTCCAGTGTCCCTCAGCTCCCCCCCACCCCGGGACGCAGGGGGGCGGCTCCAGTGTCCCTCAGCTCCCCCCCACCCCGGGACGCAGGGGGGCGGCTCCAGTGTCCCTCAGCTCCCCCCCACCCCGGGACGCAGGGGGGCGGCTCCAGTGTCCCTCAGCTCCCCCCCACCCCGGGACGCAGGGGGGCGGCTCCAGTGTCCCTCAGCTCCCCCCCACCCCGGGACGCAGGGGGGCGGCTCCAGTGTCCCTCAGCTCCCCCCCACCCCGGGACGCAGGGGGGCGGCTCCAGTGTCCCTCAGCTCCCCCCCACCCCGGGACGCAGGGGGGCGGCTCCAGTGTCCCTCAGCTCCCCCCCACCCCGGGACGCAGGGGGGCGGCTCCAGTGTCCCTCAGCTCCCCCCCACCCCGGGACGCAGGGGGGCGGCTCCAGTGTCCCTCAGCTCCCCCCCACCCCGGGACGCAGGGGGGCGGCTCCAGTGTCCCTCAGCTCCCCCCCACCCCGGGACGCAGGGGGGCGGCTCCAGTGTCCCTCAGCTCCCCCCCACCCCGGGACGCAGGGGGGCGGCTCCAGTGTCCCTCAGCTCCCCCCCACCCCGGGATGCAGGGGGGAGGCTCCAGTGTCCCTCAGCTCCCCCCCACCCCGGGACGCAGAGGGGAGGCTCCAGTGTCCCTCAGCTCCCCCCCCCACCCCGGGCCTGAGCCGTGCCTGGCTCTCCTGCAGGTCGAGAAGACCAGGCACTACCTCCTGCTGCGGGAGAAGCTGGAGACCACGCAGCGGCCCGGCCCCGAGGCGCCGTCCCCCGCCTCCAGCGAGGACTCCGGCTCCCACGGGTCGTCCAGCCCCTCCTCCCCGCTCTCGGCCGAGGGCCGGCCATCTCCCCTGGAGGCCCCCAACGAGAGACAGCGGGAGCTGGCCGTCAAGGTAGCCCAGCCAGCCCTGCCGTGACCCCCGGCCCCTCCAGGGGTGACTCAGCCCTGTCCCATCAGAGCAGGAGCTGGGAGGACGAGGGGTCCCGAGAGTCCCCGGGCCTGCCCCTCACCTTACCCACACTGGAATTTGTCAGCCGTTTGCAGCTTCCTCCCCCAAGCAGTAACCTGCTTTCTTGAATACCTATGCTGACAGGGAGCTTACCACCGCTGTCCAGAGCTGGCTCTTTCTGTTGCTTGACGGGCTGGTGGGAAGGCCTCTGAGACTGTGGGCCACGCTGCCCCCCATCTCTGCCCTAGGTCCCCAGCCTGCGCCAAGAGCTTTCCCTGGCTCACCTGTCACCATGGAGGGGAGGTGCCTTGACCCTCTGTGCCTGGGCCCCCGGCCAGTCATCCATCCATGTCAGGGGGCCCGCAGGGGGCCGTGCCTGAGGCAGGGTGGCGGCTGGGGGCCTCCTGACCCGCCATCTGTTCTTGTTGCAGTGTTTACGCCTCCTCACACACACGTTCAACCGAGAGTACACCCACAGCCACGTGTGCATCAGCGCCAGTGAGAGCAAGGTGGGCAGAGAGGGGCCACCCCCAGACCCCCCACGGGGCTGTCGTCCCCGAGAAGAACTCACACTTGTATCCAGAGATGGAAATAAGGGTTTTCTTAGAACCGTACTGTCATACTCAAGGGCCTGGGGTCCGTGGAGCGCAGGGGCCTCCTGGCTGGCCCTCACCCACCCGCCTCTGTCCTGGGCAGGGCAGGCCCTGTCCCTGTGCTCACCCTTCCTCTGCCAGGGGACGGATCCTTGACCCCAGAGCGAGTGTGGTCCCTGTGCTGCCCCCACTCACCCTGCTTCGGGCCTGCCATGCGCTGTGTGCCTCACGGCCTCCGGCCCATTGCTGGTCTTCACCTTTGACCTGTGGCCTGCCGTGTCTGGCCTTCCTCCTTTGCACGAGCCTCCCCTCTGCCTGGAAGGGCCTCTGTCCGTATCTCATGGGCTGCACACCCTCAAGTTGGGGCTCAGAGGCTACCCCCCCGACCCCCTGTGGTCCTGGCTCACTGTTTGGAGCCCACCGGTCATGAATCCCTCCTGAAGCAGGACGGAGCCCGGGGAAGGGCAGGTCAGGGGTAGGGGCAGGTCAAGGGGGGTTGGGAAGGGTCTGGCCTGCAGCTGGAATGGGGGTGCCCCCAGTGGAGGTAAAAGGTGAGCAGCAGTACAGGAACTGGCCACTGTAGGGGTGTCCCCGCCCCGCACGCCCCCCCGCCAAAGGGTCACTGTCCTCCACAGCTCTCCGAGATGTCTGTCACCCTGCTTCGGGACCCATCCATGTCCCCTCTGGGGGCGGCCACGCTCACCCCCTCCTCCACCTGCCCCTCTCTGGTGGAAGGGCGGTACGGAGCGGCTGATCTGAGGTGAGTGAGCTCCGGGCTCCGGGAGAAGCTTCTAGTGTCAAGAACCGACTGATAACCGCGGCCGTGACTCGGGCGCCTGGTGCAGTTACCGCGGGGCGCGTGTGGCGGAGCACGAGGGACGGCCACAGGCAGCCAGGGCAGGGCCAGGCGGCAGGGTCTGCCCTGGCGGGCGCGGCCCCCAACCCCCTGGTGGTGTGACTTTTCCGAGGCCACTTTCTGCTGAAGTGTAAATTTAAGCTGCATTTGGGACTGAACCCAGGAATGGGTCAAACCAGCACAAGTCACAAAACCCTTTCTGGGGGCAAGTGCTCTCACAAAGGTCAGTAGGAGAAAGGCAGCAAAGTAGCCTCGAGCCCCATGGGCCTGCTGCTGTGTGGATGGGTGTCTGCTCGGTGTCACCAGCACCCCTTACAGCCGGCCGTAGGCGTTAAACCCCTCAAGGCATCCACGTTTTCTTCTCAAAATATAAAGGCTTCCAGTCCCCTCTGGGCCCTGCGGGCCTGTGTCAACCTCAGCTCAGCTGGGGAGCTGAAGAGGCGGCGCTTTCACAGGGGGCGGGAGTGGGAAGTGCCAGAGGCGGCCGGTGAGGGACCCTCCCGAGCTCCGCCGTGGGTGCGGCGGGCTCGCACAGAGGCGCCCCTGTGGGGGCTGGGTGTGGGGGAGCCCCTGCGCGGCAGGGATGCAGAGGCCTCCTTTGCTTCCCAGGACGCCGCAGCCCTGCTCCCGTCCGGCCAGCCCCGAGCCCGAGCCCGCGCCCGAGGTAGATTGCAAGAAGCTTCCGTCCCCGGCTCGGGCGGCTGAGGCCGACAAGGAGTCCCCACGCCTGCTGGTTCCTGACATCCAGGAGATCCGGGTCAGGTGTGTGGGGGGCCCTGCCCCCAGCCAGCCCTGTCCCTGAGCCAGGCCCGGGGACAGCCCCGTACCAGGGAGACACGCAGGCCACCCCTGACCTGGGGCAGGCGCAGAGGGTGAGCAGAAGCCGAGGGCAGGAGGGTGGGCCAGAGCCAGGGCCTGGGGCCAGGGACCCAGCGGGCGCCTCTGCGGAAAGACGGTTTAATGCATCTGCAAGTTGGTAGTTTGGCCGCTGTGCGAAATGCCTGCCTTGTGGCCCAAGAACGCCGCCGTCCACGGGTGTTGTCACAGGACCCAGTGTGACAGTGCGGGCAGCTTTAGAAGTTTCTCCTTCCCACAGCCAGGGAAACTGAGCCCCAGAGACAGGCGGGTGGTTCTGGTCTCTGAGCGCCTGCCGGCACCGCCAGGGGCCTGGAGGAGGGTGGTGGGCCCCGCTGTGGGGACCCCCCCGGTCGCCCAGAGCGCGCGAGCCAGCAGTTGCCCCTCTGCAGCCCCATCGTCTCTAAGAAGGGCTACCTGAACTTCCTGGAGCCGCACACGGCCGGCTGGGCCAAGCGCTTCGTGGTGGTGCGGCGGCCGTACGCCTACATGTACAACAGTGACAAGGACTCCGTGGAGCGGTTCGTGCTCAACCTGTCCACCGCCCAGGTGGAGTACAGCGAGGACCAGCAGGCCATGCTCAAGGTCAGCCCGGGAGGCGGGGCGGGCGGGGCCCCGGGAACCCCCCTCTGCCCACCCACGGGGCACCTAGTCCTAGTGACGGCCGGCCGAGGGCTGTGGTCCGTGGGTGGGGCAGGCCCTGACCCCTTCCCCAGGGACGCCCTCAGTCCGGGGCGCGGAGCCCCACAGGGCCGGCCGGAGGTGGGGGGGGGCCAGGAGCACAGCCTTCCTGCCCCCAGCTTTGCCCCGCCCCGCTCCAAGCAAGCAGCGGCCCTGGCCGTGTGTGCCAGGAACCCAGACTCCTTCCGCCGGAGGCTACATTGCCCGCTGGCCAATTCCCCGTGCCCCGTGGCAGGGGTTGGGCACGAACTCAGCGTGCCGCCCACACCTGCCCCACCAAGGGCTCAGGCTTAGTAGGAGAGGCCAGCGCAGTGGCTGAGCCAGGGCCGCAGGGGAAGGGACCTCGGCCCGTGAGGGGTAGACGCATCCCAGGGGCCACGCAGAGCAGCCGCCAGGGAGCCCGGGGCAGGGAGGAGACGTCCCTACTGCAGAGCCTTCCGCAGGGAGCCCCCCCGGGCGGGCCAGACCGGGCGTTTGCGCTCGTGCGGGTCTTCTCTCCGCTCCCTCACCCCTGGGAGGTGTCGGAGGCGCCCCTCCCCGGCCCCCCCCACCCCGGGCCACAGGCGTGACCACCGCCTGCCGACCGGCCGTCTCACGCCCCTCTGCCTTTGCAGACGCCCAACACGTTCGCCGTGTGCACCGAGCACCGCGGCATCCTGCTGCAGGCCAACAGCGACAAGGACATGCACGACTGGCTGTACGCCTTCAACCCCCTCCTGGCCGGGACCATACGGTACGCGCGAGGGCGCCGCCCTGGGGACGTCCACGAGGACGTCGGTGTTTACTGCTGGTAAAGCGTGTGAGCCCCTGAAATGTTCAAAGGGTACGCGCCGCCGGGCGCAGGCCCTCTCGCGGCTGCAGACACAGCTCGAGGTCAGGCCTGGGCGCAGCGGGGCCCCGGGGATGGGAGCCCTGCCCTCCTGCCCCGGCGACTGGGGAGGGTGGGCAGGCGCGCCCAAGGCCCACGGATAGGCACCGCGTCTCCCAGCGAGCAGGGAGGGGAGGGGCGTCCGCCGCTGAGAGGCCAGCGCCCCGACCCCCGCTTGTCTCCACCTCCTGCAGGTCCAAGCTGTCCAGACGGCGGTCCGCCCAGATGAGGGTCTGAGCCGAAACTCCCTCGCCCCCCGAGACAGCCAGCAGGCCAGCCCCACCCCCAGTCCCCGTCACCATCCGTCATGTCACATGCGCCCAGCCTGCCCCCACCAGCCCGCCAGCCAGCCCGTCCCCTGCCAGGGACGCTGCGTGGGGCCCCCGGAGCGCCACCTCCGGCCCAGGCACCTGGGCCACAAGACCTATCCTTCCCCCAGCAGGCCGCGTTCTGTCTTCTTTCGGAGCGGGCCCCAGGTGGGAGGGGCCGGCAGGTGCCAGAGAGGCCGGGGGGCACGAGTCTCGGGGCATCGCTGCCATTCTGATATTTTTTTAAGCATAGACAGGCTTATAATTAATATACATTAGCTAGTGATACCGGAACAGCCCACTCAGAAAGTAACTATAAGACTGTGTTCTATTTATAAGTATTTATTCCTAATACCCTCACATAGACCCGTAGGTGCGGATGGACCCCGCCCCACGCCTGGCCCTCTCCCAGCCCCAAGCCTCATAGGGACGACCACGGTGAAGGGGTGTGTGCAAAGGCCAGGGCACACCTGCCGCCCGGGCCTGAGCTCAGGCTTGTGGGACACGCCTGCCACCCGGGGCGCGCACGCGTGCATGTGCGTGTGTGTGTGTGTGTGTGTGTGTGTGTGTGTGTGTGTAAGAGCGTCAGGGGACCCGGTCTGGGCCGCGAGGGGCTTGGGGTGCGGGGTCTCCAGCTCCAGGTCGTTCCTGGGACGCAGGTCTGCGCCCCCCTCTTTGCCCTGAGACAAGGGTGTGTGTGAGTGCCAGCGAGAAGATTCCGTGGGGCCGGGTGGGGGCAGCAGCGATGGGGTCCCCGCCATCGAGGAGGCTGTCCTCTGAGGTCCCGGCCCTCATTTCGCTGCAGCGTCCACTCCATACTCCCCACGGACTGCGCACCTGAGGCCCGGCCGTGGCCAGAGCCCGCCCCAGGCTCAGCGCCCCAGGCTCGGGGTCAGGTCCGGCAGCGCACCCAGAAGCCCCGGGGCCTGGGGGTCTCCAGTGACCTGTCCCCTTGCCCCCGGCACATGTGGCCTCTTTCTAACTCAAGTGAAAACAGCAACCGACCCACAAGCCCGTGTCCCACCAGGATCAGGTCCCGCTCAGAATCTGGGCATCCAGGCCCAGGTCTGTGGCCCACTGGGCCACGCCGCTCACTGGCGCCTTCCACTGCCTTTGCCACACCCTGCAGGGCACCCCCAGCGACACCCCACCTTTCCGTTTGGTTCGGATTACCTTGTCGAGCCCCAGTCAGTGGTCTGAAGCCCCATCAGCCCAGTGGTCCCCGTCGCACTGCCGTGGCGTGTGGCCACAGTGCGGGTCCTGTGTGCCGAGGCCGGAAATGAGTGCAGCCTCTTTCCTCTGGGGATGCGTGGGCTCGGCTCCCACACCAGGTGACAAGGGTCCAGGGTGAGGCTTTCCTTTGGGAAAGTTCTTCGCCTCGGACGTGGGACCAGGCGATGGGCTCCCCACCTGAGCAACGTCCGGCAGCCGGGTCCGGTTCCGCCCACGCCGGCGCCTGGAGGCTGTGAGTGCACAGTCCCCGTCGCTGGTCCGGGCAGCGAGTCAGCGGCCACTGCCCCTGCTGCGCCCCTCGTCCCCGGTGCTTGGAAGGCATCCTGGGGGCATCGCTCCATCAGCAGGAAACAGGCCCTAGGAAACCCGTGTGTGGAGACCCCCGGAAGAGAGCTCGTGGCCGGGCTGAAACCAAAGGTCCAGAAAGCAGACGTTCCCGGGCCAAGACGCAGAGGGCAGGGGTGTGGCACAGTCCAGAGGGAGCCCCTATTGTGGCTGTTGTGGTGGCCTCGAGGGCGGGGAGGGGACCAGGGAGGGAGGACGCTCTTCCCAGATGCTTGGTTCTCGGCAGCCCCGCCTTCCCGCGGGGAGACTGGGGGCGCGGGGCCCGGGCGCAGCCGCTCAGGTCAGCCAGCCTGGAGCCGCGGCTCGAGCCCGGGCGCGGGGGTCTGAGGCCAGCCAGCCTGCAGAGCACCCGCTCCGTGGGGTGAGAGGAGGGGCCGCGCCCTAAATTCAGGAGCCTCCACGGCCATGGAGGTGCCCCCAGGACTGTTTCACTTTGGCCCCGGTGCCCTTGGCAGTTGCCTGGACCACTGTCCCCATCGTCACTGCCGGAGCCCCGGGGCTGGTGGGGAGAGAAACGCGGGGGCACCTGGTCCCTTGGCCCTGCAGACGCCGCCCCACCTCACACCAGGGGGCTGGCACTTAGCACACTGGGCTGCCGTCTTCGCATCTGTGACAGAGCGGCTGCTCCGGAGCGCCCGAGGGTGTCCCCGTTGTGGGGTGTGGCGGGGAGGCCAGGCCTGCCGGTGGCTGTTTCCCACTAGGTGGGGAGGGAAGAAAGATCCAGAAAGCCATCCCTCTGGGAGTTTGTTTCTTTAACACTTGATGGCACTCATTGTGCCTTGAGGGACAGCCATCCTCTCCCAGGGGAGGGGTCTGTCTCCTCCAGGGAGCAGGGAGCCCCTGCTGATCCGCTGTGGCCCCAGGGCGGGGGTGCTGGGCTCCAGGCTCCAGTGTGACCTGGTGGGTGCCCAGGGTATCGAGATGTTCCCAAGTTCCAAGGCCTCCGTGTTCTGAGTAAGCAGTCCTAAGATGCCAACGTTCCAGTCACTGATCACACACGCTCACACACACACACACACGCACGCACGCACGCTCACACACACCCCCAGTGGCTGCAGTGAGGCCGCCTCCCCATCCACCCTGGTACCCCCTCTGCACCTGTGTGGCGGGTGTGGCGAAGCGCTCGGGGAGAGTTCCGGAACGTCGCTGGTGTTTCAGGCGTGAGCAGGCTGCAGTGCTGGTCCTCCGTCAGCCCCCCCAGTGCGGGACCCCGGAAGGCTCCCTCCTTTTACCCCTGGGACGAAGGACGCGCCCCCCGGGATCAGCAGAGGCCGTGGCTTCTTCCAGGGCGGTGCCTCCGCAGCTGGCCGTCCCCTGCCTCCCCCCGTAGCTTGTACATATGTGGTCACGTGGCACACCCTGGCCCCTCGCTGTAACCGCCATTCTGACGTAACGACTCTAGCTCCCTGACGTCCTAAACCCGAGTGTTAGGCTCTAGGCTCCTGTACTGTGTGTGCACTTCACAATCTGTCCAATAAATAAATAAATGTGGCTCCTTATGCACCACCAGACCTGCGGGTGTTCCCTGTGTCTTCATTGTGTGTTAAGTCTGTTCGATGCCCCTGGGGTCCAGTGTGCCGTGGTGCCCAGAGAGCACCCACTTCCCACGCTGGGGTGGGGGGGTGAGGGACAAGATGGTGTTTGTCATGGGAGCGCCCAGCCCCTTCCCTCGGCACCTGGCCACACCTGCCCGCATAGCTCACGGTCCTCGGGCTGTTCTGTGGGGTCGGCGTCACCCCAATACCAAAACTAGGCAGTATTACAAGAAAACGGAACTACAGACCAGTGTCTTTCAGCAACATAGAAAAGTGTGTTCAGTAACATTTTGCCAAACCGAAGGTACCAACAAAGACGATCCTTCCTGGTGATCAGGCGGAGGGTCTTGGGGACGCGGAGTCGGTTCAAAAGCTGCTCAGCGCCATTCGCCAGAGTAAACCAACAGAAGAAAATTCACTCCAGACACAGAAAACGGTTTGCATTTGACCAAATCGAACATCCGTTGCTAAGCGAGCCTTTGCACGACGATACGGTCCTCAACCTGACGAAGCGCGACTTGGCCCCGGGCTGACACCACGCCTCCGGGCAGAGTCTGCGTGGGAGCCCTCAGGACCAGAGCCAGACAGCTGCCCTGCGTCAGCAGCGGGTGAAAGGAAGGAGACTCCGACGCCCCCCACGGGAGGCCGCCAGGCGCAGCCCTGTGACCACCGGCTGCCGTCACGTGCCGCCGTCCTGGAGGACGTGGCGACGTCGCAGGAGCTAGCGAGTGAGCGCCTCTGGCGGGGGCAGCGGTCATCCGGCCCCGGCTTCACCCCCTGCCCCTCGGCGGGCAGGTGCGCGGCTGTGCCTCGCTCTAGTTAGGTTTTAGCTGAACGTTAAAATTGTGGGCACCTGTGTAGCCCAGGCGGCCAAGCATCTCGGCTCAGGTCATGATCTCAGTGTCGGTGGGATCGAGCCTGCGTCAGGCTCTGTGCTGACAGCTCGCTCGCTCTCTCCCTCCCTCTCAAAAACATATAAACAAATAAATGAATAAATAAATAAAAGTTAAACTTATGCAAAAATAAAAGTTGAAGTCATGCTGATCATCAGTGTGAACAGCCACTGCGCATCAGCCAGGCTCGTGTGTTTGCGGTGATGCGCCCTCGGGGTCCGAAACCACTCTGTGTTCTGACTGGGCCGGGCCCCACCTGGTTGGAACAGGGGGGTGGAGGGCGGGAGGGGGGTCTGTGTGATCCCAGAGGGAGCCCCGGCTTCTCCACTCCCAGACTCCAGGTCTCCACCGGTTCCCCGCTCCTAACAGGGTGGGGGCCTGAAAGGAGGAATGAACAAGCCCCTGCCCCCCACACCCCTCCCCGGGGCTGGGGTCTGGATGGACGGTTTCCCACCTCCGGGAAAGTTCTGGACCTCGGAATCCCCTACTGGGACAACAGACAAAAGGCAGTGCCTGTCGCCCATGCTTCAGAGCCCCCTCCTGGGTGTCCGTCTCCCCAGCGGCCACAAAGGGGGGCTGCCGGGGAGAGGCCCCCAGAGCAACACAGACACAAGGAAGGTCAGGGAGGCGGAGGCTGGTGAGGTGAGCCTGGGCCAGAGGTGAGGGGGCCCCCAGGGAGGCTGGGCCAGAGGTGAGGGGGCCCCCAGGGAGGCTGGGCCAGAGGTGAGGGGGCCCCCCCAGGGAGGCTGGTTCTCGAGGAGCTGGAGCTACGGCCGGGCCTCCTTGTGAACGTGCCCAGCCTGCTCCCAGTGAGGCCGCGGTCCAGAGCGGGGTGGTCACTCAGGTCACCGGGCTCTGCTGGGCAACCCTGCAACGCCACAGGTGACAGGGCCATTTGGGGCATGTCCAGGACTTTTGTCACAGTCCTGCAAGGAGTCAGGCGCTGCCAGGCCCCTCCTGGTGACGTCCGACTCAGCCCCCTTCTCCGCTAGTCCCGCTCAGCTGAACTGCTTGGAAGGAAACGGGTGGCCCCACCTTCTCCCGAGGGGCAGGGGGGACAGCGGATGCGGAAGGCGTGTGACAGAGGTCAGTGCTGCTGCAGGCCTGGGGGTCCTCCAGGAGGCACAGGGCGCGGGTGGGAGGGGCTGAGGTGTTACCCGTACCCCCGGCGGTATATGAACGCAGAAAGCCCAGCGGCCATGGCTGGCTGTCCGTCCGCGGGCACTGGGGTGGGACGTAGGGTAAGGGGACGAGGCACCCATCTCCCGCCTGCCCCGCAGGGCTCCCCCCCCCCCACTGTGTCCACTGCCTTGGGCCCCCCCTGTTGTGTCCAGAAGACCCTGACCTGGGTCTTCCCCCGAAGCTCCTCCCTCCCCACCTCACCTCCTCCCAACAGTGCCACGCCCCTCCCAGCCTCTGTCCCCCTCCCCTGACAGTCCCCAGGGATGGGGCTCAGGGCACAAGGCCCCTCCCCAGCCGAGCAGACCCCCCCCCCCCCGGCAGGCTTCCCATCCAGTGGTCTGTGCTCTGTGCCAGGCCGTTTCCTTCTGCCTGGAGTGACCCTCCTCCAGGGGCGCGCCACTGAACCCAGCTTCTCTCGGTGACCCAGTGACCCAGCTGCCAGGCTGTGCCCACGGAGCCAAGGGCCTGGGATGTGAGTCACAGACGCTTTGAAGCTGCGGCCTGTGTCCGGCACCGAGGCTGGCCGGCGGCGGGGTGGGGGGGGGCCGGCGCGCCCCAGGGACGACGCCCGGCCGTGGGGCGTCCGCTGCGCTGCTGCTCCGGGGCGGCAGCAGGTGGGGCCGCAGGCGAGGGCACAGGTGTGGCGTTCACAGGGACCGCCCGCCCAGGTGGCCTCTCCCACGGCGGCCCCGTCCTTGGGGCTCGGGACGGGCCGGCCCCGACACGTCAGCTCAGGTCCCCGGCTCGGCCCGTTCCTCGAGGGGCCCCCAGGCCGATGGCCGGTCTGAACGTGTCCCTCTCCTTCTTCTTCGCCACCTTTGTCCTCTGCCAGGCGGCCAGGAGGGCGTGCAAGGCCCTGCTCCCCGCGGGCGCCTACGCCGGCTTCGCCCGGGAGGCGGTGGCCGCGGCCCAGCTGGGGGCCTGCTGCCTGGAGATGCGGGTGCTGGCGGAGCTGGGCCCCTGGGCGGGGGGCTGCGGCCCCGACCCGCTGCTCACCCTGCTCTTCCTGGCTCACGGGGCCACCTGCGCCGGGGCCGCGGCCACCCCCACCGTGGCCCTGCAGGGGCTGCTCCTGGCCGAGGCGTCCGCGCCCCGCACGCTGCTGAAGCTGGCGGCCCAGGGGCTGGGCGTGCGGGCGGCCTGTGCCCTGACCCGGCTGTACTGGGCCTGCGAGCTCTGTGACCTGCACGTCCTCCAGAACCTCATGGACCCGCACTGCAGCTCCGCCCTGCGCACGCCCGTGCCCCACGGCGCGCTGGTGGAAGGCGCCTGCACGTTCCTCCTCCACCCGGCCCTCCTCCACCTCCGGGACAGCCTGCCCGCCTGCAGGGTGCCGGCCGTGGCCCTGCTGGCCGCCGCCATGGCCCACACGGGTGAGACGGGGCCGCCAGAGCCTCCGCGCCCGCGTGGGGAGCTGGGGGGCGGAGATGAGCGGCTGGGTTGGGTGGTGGATGTTCGCGGAGGGACCCTTGTCCCGGCCGCTCCCTGATCCTGACCTTTGGCTTTGGCTGCGCGGCCCTCCGGCCCCTTCAGTGCAGGGAGGCGAGGTTGGGCTGAGCCCCCCGCCTGTGTGCCGGGAAGCACGGTGGGGATTTCGGGGGGTGGGGGGCTCCTCTCCCGCCAGGCGGGGCCCCCAAGGACCTCCCCCCACAGCTGTGCCTCCCCCCACAGCCGGGCCCTTCACGTCCGCCTTCTTCAACCCGGCCCTGGCCACCTCGGTCACCTTCCACTGCTCGGGTCACACCCTGCTGGAGTACGCACAGGTGTACTGGCTGGGTCCTCTGACAGGTAAGGGCAGAGGGGTCACCGGGGAGCCCCCGCGGGCAGCAGGCAAGGCCAGGCCTGGACAGTGGCTCGGGGACGCCACACGCAGCATACCTGGTGGACGTGACCGCTGGGCAGGCAGGGGGGCCGCACTCACGCCTGCGGGGCGTCCTCACAGACCCTGAGCCCCGGTACCTGCATCGGGAAGAGGTGGAGCCCGCCCAGGCCACGTGGCCCCGGAGTCTGAGGTCCTAGGTAGAGGCCACTTCTCAGGCACCCGGCCTCAGCCCCTTGGCCGCACCTCACTCCCCACACCTTGTCAGGTGGGTAAGCGGGGTCCAGTGGAGCTCTGGAAGCCTCCTCCACTTCTGTCTACACCGTGGGCACATCCTCGGAGAGCACCTCGACCTCCCTGGGGCTCCAGCTGTGGGTCGAGACCTGGGAGCGCCCATCGGTGCGTTTTGTGACTTCACTTTCCACTTGACCGAGGTCTCGGGTGCATGTGGTCGGTCCACGGAAAGTACCAGGGAGAGGAGCAGTCCCTGCCCGGCCCGCATCCTTGCACCCCTCCAGAGGCAGCAAGGGCCCCCTCCCCCCTCCCCCTTCTCTCTCGAAGAGCCACTTCTGGGTTTCCAGTTAGGGCACTAACTCTCAGGCCTCCTTGTAACTTCCTCCCTCGCCCTCCCCCCTCCCCCGCAGCCTCCACGGCCTCCCAAGGGCAGGGCCGTGTGCACAGGCGCCGGGCCCCAGGGGCTTCCTCGTGAGTCCCTAGAGGATTCACATCCCACTTGAAGCGAATGTGCCTCCTCTCCTGCCTTCCCAGTGGTGCTAGTGGCCGAGACAGAATCCAGGATCCTCTGCTCCCCGAGCTCTGGGAAGAAGCTGGGAGCCAGGCGGGCCCTGCCCTCAGCCCCCTGCTTCCCAGCCCAGGCCCCACCCACGTCCGCCTCCCCCTCGGTCCCCCACACCCGCAGCCAAGCACGAGGGCGACCCGTCACCTGGGGAGGCGGCCCAGGACACCTGTGCGGGGAATGCCGGGCCGGGGCCCCCGGAGCCTGGTCCTGATGGGTTGTGCGCCTCCCTGGGGTGGGGGGGAGGCGCCGTGGGAGGGCCGGACCAGGGTCCGGGCGAGGGCTCCCTGCGGAGAGGTGCAGGCTGCCCCCGACCCAGGGCCGCGGGACCCCTGTCACACTGCTGGTCCTGGGAGGAGCGTCCGGGTCGCCTCATGCTGCGAGGCGCCCACCGGGCCCTGGTCTGACGCCTGCTTCCTCGCAGGGATGGTCCTGGCTGTCCTGCTGTACCACGGCCGCCTTCCGCGCCTTTTCCGGAGGAACCTGTTGTACGGCCAGAAGAACAAGTACCGAACTCCTAGAGGGAAGCTGGCCCTGGGGCCTAGAGACACCCGGCCACCTGCAGGGCGGAGCAGAAGCCGGGAGCCTGGGCGGGGCGGGGCGGGGCAGGAGCCGCCGGCCTCCCGCTGAGCCAGCACCTCTGGGTGGGCGTCGGGGGAGCCGGGTCCCCTAGCTGGACCCTGGGGCCTCCCTGAGCTCCCTGAGTGGGGACCAGGCCCGCACCCCTTCCTCCCCTGAAACCATTTGTCAATAAACCATTCCTAAGACCTGCCTGTCTCCCCGGGGGTGACGGAGACTTCCGGAAGGGCAGGCAAGGGTGAGCGTGGTACGCAACGGAGGCTGGTCTGAGTCGCCTCCATCTCCCCACCAGCTGTCTCTTGCCTCCTCTTTACAGAATTGGGATCAAAGGGGAGACCGAGGGGGAAAGGCAAGAAAGAGGTCCAGGGTGAGTCACCCGGGTCCTGAGAAGATCCTGGGATAGACATTTCTGCAGACGGCGTCTGGCTGCTCCGGCGCGCCCCAGAACCCCGGAACCCACAGCCCGGGGAGGCACCCTGAGGCCTGCCGGGCGCGGGGAGGAAGGTGGCCTGAGCCTGAGGCTGCAGGCGGCTGGACCCACGGTGCCCGACCCCACCATCCGCCGGCACCCGGCCCTCGGGGCAGCACGCCCCCGGGTCCTGGAGGCTGGGCAGACCCTTGCCAGTCACTGGCGTGCAGACCCCTGAACCCGGTCTCCCTGCCCCCCAGGCTGGGAAAAGCCTCAGCCAGTTCCTCTCCCAAAGACCAGAGCTAGTCTGGAAACTTCCACCCCACAAGGGGAAAGGCCTCCTCAGCTGGGGCCCTGGAAGTGGCAGGGCCCCAGCCTCAGGCTTCACCCTAACTGCTGGCCGAGAAGGGCAAGGGGCAGAGAACAAGGGGGTGCCGAGTGAGCTTTTCCCTCATGTGGAGACCACGCTGGCACCAGCCTCCTAGCGATGGAGCAAAAGGGGAACCCCCGCCCCCTTCCCATGGCTGCCCCTTCACCCCTTTTTAATCTGCCCTCCACCCAGCCTGGCAGTGAGGCTGCTCTGCCTGAGCCCCAGCTCCGTCGCCCCTCCTCAGGGTGGCTGCTCTGGGAGGGGTGAGCAGGCCCCGGTCTCTGAGTTCCTTCTGGAAAGCCTGATGGAGCTATATGGAAGCTTCCAGAAGGAGGACCATGAGCACACAGGGGTGGGGCCAGGATGAGGGGCCATCCAGCTCCCAGGAGCCTTTGTGGGCCGGGGCTGGGGTGATAGCAGGGGCTGAAGACCCAGGAAGGAGGAGAGGGTTGGGGGGCGGTGGCAAGGCCAGAGGTGGCTGGCACATCTGTCCCCACAGAATGTGGCTTCTGCACAAATACTTCTAGGGTAGAAGCTTCTGGTGCTCACCTAGTAATTCTGTTTTTTTTAAGTAGGCTCCATGCCCAGCAAGGAGCCCAATGTGGGGCCTGAACTCACAACCCTGAGATCAAGACTTGAGATGAGATCAAGAGTCAGACGCTCAACCAACTGAGCTACCCAGGTGCCCCCATTTGTGTCGTAAATATATCCAGTAAGTTTGTGCAGGAAAAGAAAACCTGTGGACACTGTAATAAATAATATCCGCATATCAGCAAATTATTAGAATTCTCTGAGGAGTTTAGGATTTTTGTTTTGGAAAACTTCAACATCGTAAAGCAAAACCCACATGCTTGGAACCATAACTTAAACTTAAGGAACACTGCATTCAATGAAAAGAACACAATTTTCCTACGAAGCTTTGATGAACTGATTACTAACATGGAAGGCAACTTAGAAGCTACTAGAAAAAGTTTATGACGAGTGTAACACAAAGAATGCAAGAATGGTTCAATATTGGGCCATTCTTTGATATAATTCCCCTTGATAATCAATCTAGGAATAAAATCATACGATTATCTCCACCGACAGTTAAAAGACCTCTGAGAAAATATAACACCTACTCCCTGTTCAAAAAGGAGCTAACACAGGGGCGCCTGGGGGGCTCAGTCGGTTGAGCGTCTGACTTCGGCTCAGGTCATGATCTTGCGGTTCGTGGGTTCGAGCCCCGCATCGGGCTCTGTGCTGACAGCTCAGAGCCTGGAGCTGCTTCAGATTCCGTGTCTCCCTCTCTCTCTGACCCTCCCCTAGCTCACACTTGCTCTCTCTCTCTCTGTCTCAAAAATAAAAATAAAACACTAAAAAATTAAAAAAAAAAAAGGAGCTAACACATTAGGAAGCAGTGGGTCATTTCTTAATCACAGGTACATGCGCACGTGCGCCCTGTGCACACGCACAACTCGGCGCCCCACTCGGTGGGAATAGACCTCGTTCTGGCCGAGGAAGGCAGCGAGGAGTCCCAGACCCTGAGATACGAACGGCTGCGACCGGACAGGAGGGAACTATCCGCGACGCCTGTTCCTATTTGCACACAGTACGATGGTGCGACTGGGAAGACCAGACGCTGCAAAGCCCGTCACAAGCACTAAGAGACTCAAGACAGGATGTAAGGTTATGTAACGTGCGGCACTAACAGGCGCTAGGAGGCGGGGGCGGGGGCGGGGGCTCAGACGGTTAAGCATCTGACCTTGGCTCAGGTCATGACCGTCCCTGGCCCCCCCTGGCGCCCTGAGCACCGCAACAGCACCGGGCAAGCGGAGCCGCGTCCAGAGCCAGCGCCCACTCCGCTCAGGACCCAGGGGCTGCGTGCCCGCGTGCGGAGCCCCCGCCGGGAGCTGTGGGCACACCCACTCTTCCTGTGGACAGAGCGGCTCGTGTGGGCATGGTCTCCAGAGTGCAGAGGTCACGGGCAGCCCGGCACAGCTCGGCGTCCCACATCCGCCCGCCTCAGGGACCTGGAGGGTCTCATCGGGCAGCGGCACAGGGTCACCACCTGCTGGTGCCAGTCCCCTCTGATCCCGGGCGGGCGTTCTCCCTGTGACACCAGCACCGCCCGCTTGACCGCACCCCTTAGCATCGTGTGGGGTGGGGTGCATGGGGCCATCTCTTTAACCGGTTTTCATCTTCCATCCCCTGGGTCACAAGGCCAGGCCATTGGCCACCACCTGTAAGTCAGTAAAACCCAAACAGAGAGGCAAACAGCACGTGGTTCAGGTCACTGACTGATCCACTTTTGCCTTCTTTGTTCAGAGTGGTGGCCTAGGACCCTGCCCGTCCACCAGCCAGGCAGCCCCTGCCGGCCCGGAGGGCGCACTAGGGGGCTGCGGGCCAGCGGAGGGCGCTCTGGGGGGGCTGCGGGCCAGCGGGGGGCGCTCTGGGGGGGCTGCGGGCCAGCGGAGGG